GAGATCCAGACAGAGAGGACTCTACCAGGTCTAACTACCCTGCGAGATCCAGAGAGGACTACCAGGTCTAACTACCCTGCGAGATCCAGACAGAGAGGATTCTACCAGGTCTAACTACCCTGTGAGATCCAGACAGAGAGGACTCTACCAGGTCTAACTACCCTGCGAGATCCAGACAGAGAGACTCTACCAGGTCTAACTACCCCCTGGTCTAACTACCCTGCGAGATCCAGACAGAGAAGACTCTACCAGGTCTAACTACCCTGTGAGATCCAGACAGAGAAGACTCTACCAGGTCTTACTACCCTGCGAGATCCAGACAGAGAGGACTCTACCAGGTCTAACTACCCTGCGAGATCCAGACAGAGAGGACTCTACCAGGTCTAACTACCCTGCGAGATCCAGAGAAGACTACCAGGTCTAACTACCCTGCGAGATCCAGACAGAGAGGACTCTACCAGGTCTAACTACCCTGCAAGATCCAGTCAGAGAGGACTCTACCAGGTCTAATGACCCCACGAGATCCAGACCGAGAGGACTCTACCAGGTCTAATGACTCCACGAGATCCAGACCGAGAGGACTCTACCAGGTCAAACTACCCTGCGAGATCCAGACAGAGAGGACTCTACCAGGTCTAATGACAACGCGAGATCCAGACAGAGAAGACTCTACCAGGTCTAATGACCCCGTGAGATCCAGAGAAGACTCTACCAGGTCTAATGACCCGCGAGATCCAGACAGAGAAGACTCTACCAGGTCTAATGACACCGCGAGATCCAGACAGAGAAGACTCTACCAGGTCTAATGACCCAGCGAGATCCAGAGAAGACTCTACCAGGTTTAATGACCCTGCGAGATCCAGACAGAGAAGACTCTACCAGGTCTAATGACCCGTGAGATCCCAGAGAAGACTCTACCAGGTCTAATGACCCCGCGAGATCCAGACAGAGAAGACTCTACCAGGTCTAATGACACCGCGAGATCCAGACAGAGAAGACTCTACCAGGTCTAATGACCCGTGAGATCCAGAGAAGACTCTACCAGGTCTAATGACCCCGTGAGATCCAGAGAAGACTCTACCAGGTCTAATGACCCCGTGAGATCCAGAGAAGACTCTACCAGGTCTAATGACCCCCGTGAGATCCAGAGAAGACTCTACCAGGTCTAATGACCCTGCGAGATCCAGACAGAGAAGACTCTACCAGGTCTAATGACCCCGTGAGATCCAGAGAAGACTCTACCAGGTCTAATGACCCCGTGAGATCCAGAGAAGACTCTACCAGGTCTAATGACCCTGCGAGATCCAGATAGAGAGGACTCTACCAGGTCACTGGCACTTCTTGTATCACACCCATTCCTTTTTTCTAACATATATTAGTGCATTTCCTGAAATCACTCATTCTCACACAGCAAATCCTTGGAAAGGCACGAGCACTGAGATGAACATTTACTTACAATGAATTTAAAAGTTTACAAACAACAACATTTTTAAAAAAAATTCTGGATGCAGCGGGGAAGTTTGGGATTCCCAGTCAGGTGTTTATATCTTTCATCCCTGCTGGGGTTCCTCTCACTTCCTGCCTGGTCATTCGGGACAGGTAGTAGGAATGAATTTCCCCCACAGGGGGCGCAAACCGATAGGCTGATTAAGGTATATAACACTCCCTTGCACCATCCAGAACTAGAAGCAAAAAAAAAAATTTTGGCTGAAGTCCAACTGCAGCAGAAACGGAAAAACACACATGAACCAATGACGCCTTCAAACCATTTTCCTTCTCTATTCTTCCTCCTCTAATAGAGGACGTCAGCTTTTTGGGTGGAGTATATTCACGACCAAATATTCCCCAAGATACAGACATTGGGGGGGGATCCAGAGATACAAACATTGGGGGGGATCCAGAGAATACAAACATTGGGGGGATCCAGAGATACAAACATTGGGGAGGATCCAGAGATACAAACATTGGGGAGGATCCAGAGATACAAACATTGGGGGGGATCCAGAGATACAGACATTGGGTGGGGATCCAGAGATACAAACATTAGGGGGGATCCAGAGATACAAACATTGGGGGGGATCCAGAGATACAAACATTGGGGGGGATCCAGAGATACAAACATTGGGGGGGATCCAGAGATACAAACATTGGGGGATCCAGAGATACAAACATTGGGGGATCCAGAGATACAAACATTTGGGGGATCCAGAGATACAAACATTGGGGGATCCAGAGATACAAACATTGGGGGATCCAGAGATACAAACATTGGGGGGATCCAGAGATACAAAACATTAGGGGGGATCCAGAGATACAAACATTGGGGGGATCCAGAGATACAAACATTGGGGGGATCCAGAGATACAAACATTTGGGGGGATCCAGAGATACAAACATGGGGGAGATCCAGAGATACAAACATTGGGGGGGATCCAGAGATACAAACATGGGGGGGATCCAGAGATACACACATTGGGGGGGATCCAGAGATACACACATTGGGGGGGATCCAGAGATACACACATTGGGGGGGGATCCAGAGATACACACATTGGGGGGGGATCCAGAGATACACACATTGGGGGGGATCCAGAGATACAAACATTGGGGGGATCCAGAGATACAAACATTGGGGGGATCCAGAGATACAAACATTGGGGGGGGGATCCAGAGATACAAACATTGGGGGGATCCAGAGATACAAACATTGGGGGGATCCAGAGATACAAACATTTGGGGGGATCCAGAGATACAAACATGGGGGAGATCCAGAGATACAAACATTTGGGGGGATCCAGAGATACAAACATGGGGGAGATCCAGAGATACAAACATTGGGGGGATCCAGAGATACAAACATTGGGGGGATCCAGAGATACAAACATTGGGGGGATCCAGAGATACAAACATTGGGGGGATCCAGAGATACAAACATTGGGGGGATCCAGAGATACACACATTGGGGGGGATCCAGAGATACACACATTGGGGGGGATCCAGAGATACAAACATTGGGGGGATCCAGAGATACAAACATTGGGGGGGGGGATCCAGAGATACAAACATTGGGGGGATCCAGAGATACAAACATTTGGGGGGATCCAGAGATACAAACATTTGGGGGGATCCAGAGATACAAACATTTGGGGGGATCCAGAGATACAAACATGGGGGAGATCCAGAGATACAAACATTGGGGGATCCAGAGATACAAACATTGGGGGGATCCAGAGATACAAACATTGGGGGGATCCAGAGATACACACATTGGGGGGGGATCCAGAGATACAAACATTGGGGGGGATCCAGAGATACAAACATTGGGGGGATCCAGAGATACAAACATTGGGGGGGGGGGTCCAGAGATACAAACATTGGGGGGATCCAAAGATACAAAACAGGGGGGGATCCAGAGATACAAACATTGGGGGGATCCAGAGATACAAACATTGGGGGGGATCCAGAGATACAAACATTGGGGGGGATCCAGAGATACAAACATTGGGGGGATCCAGAGATACAAACATTGGGGGGATCCAGAGATACAAACATTGGGGGGATCCAGAGATACAAACATTGGGGGGGATCCAGAGATACAAACATTGGGGGGGATCCAGAGATACAAACATTAGGGGGATCCAGAGATACAAACATTGGGGGGGATCCAGAGATACAAACATTGGAGGGATTCAGAGATACAAACATTTGGAGGGATCCAGAGATACAAACATTGGGGGGATCCAGAGATACAAACATTGGGGGGATCCAGCGAATGTAGTTTTACCTGACTTAGCATCACCTTTTATAGAAGAGTAGCTGATGGAAAAAGAGCTTCTGAGCTTTTTTGAGCTTCTGAGTTTTTGGAAAGGGTCAGGGACTTTTTTAAAAGCAGAAAGCAGCGTTTTTTTGCTACAATACAGTTCAGTGGAGAATCTGCTGAAATGCATGGTAGTGCGTTTTTGCCGCGTTTTTAATTTTTATTCTGCCCAGTGAGAAAAAAAAAAATTCCACTTAAAAAAAAAAAAAAAAAAAAAAAAAAAAGGAAAAACGCTGCCAGCAGGAAAATGTCATTTGCCGGCAAATTATGTTGTTTCAAAAGAAACCAGCAGGGGAAAATCATTTTCAATCACTTTTTTGCAGTACTTCTGTACATCACATGTGCCCTTTTACAGACAGGATCAATATATCCTCCAGGCATGTTATTTAAAGGATTTGATGAATTTGTAAATTTTTAACCAGTAAAAAAAAAAAAAAAAAAAAAATTCTACTCCTGGCTGAACGGAACTTTCTATTATTTTTTGCATTGGTACATGTTCCCCAGTGCAGTGCCCACCCCACTATGGTATTTGTTGCCAATCCTTTGCTCATTAAGTGCAGAAGATGGGCCATTGATTTCCATGGGGTTCAGATTCACAATTCAAACTTTTTTTCCCACCGAACTTTACTTGAACCGAACCCAGGGAAGTTCGGCCTCATCCCTCGTCATACATAAATAAGAAGCAACCTCACAATTCTAGTCGCTTTTCCTGCTGCCAGGTTACTTTGCAGTCACCAGACGAGTTGCCCGAAGCAACGTCATAGAACGAGCAAAGCTCCTGGAATGAATAATTCCAATTTCATAAAGAGCCCTATTGTCTTTGCGCCTTCGGGCAAGGGCTGACATGGCGGTGGGAGAAGCCGTGCGTGGTCGGAGCATTCTTCTCCTTCTCAGCCGCATTGTGTTTGTTTGTCCTGATAAAAAACAGCGGAGGTTTGGCTGCCATCACCTCCCTGCCAGGGGAGAAGAAAGGCGTTAGTCATTAAAAGGATGTGGTACACGGGAGGAAATTACACATCGCGGTACTTCCTCTCTAGGCAAACTCTCAGGCGTTCACGTGCTGCCTCTAAAAACTGCCCGATCTCCTCCAGAAGATCTCCTCCAGAAGACCTCCTCCAGAAGACCCCCTCCGGCACGGATTACCACGCTGAACAATCCTCAGGTGTTGGGAGATCCGCACAACATGACCTCCTGCCGGCAGACTTTGCGTCCTGTTAAGGTAAGCCGGACTGACGCGCTGAGACTGCAGCATGTGCTCCAGGAATGTCGGAGGCACAACAGAAAGTTTATTCTCATGCCACCAAGAGATTTAAAAATTATATACACACGGCTCAACAAAAAAAAATGAAAGGAAGACTTTGTAATCCGAGTCTAACATCAAGTCGTGAAACTCCTGGGAGATGGATCTGGTCAGGTAAGTTGCAGAGGGGGTTCATCAGTTTCAGCTGCTTTGTTGCCCATCTAATGCACCTGTTGGTAATTTCATGAACACCAATGAGACGACCCCCAAAAGAGGAACGGTTTTACAGGTGGGAGGCCACTGAGGTTTTTTTTTTCTCCTCATCTTTTCTGTTTTTCAATCGTTTTGCATTTGGCTCAGGTCAGTGTCACTGCTGGTAGCCTGAGGCCATATCTGGACCCTGCAGAGGTTGCACAGGCAGTCCAACTCCTCCAGGATGGCACATCAATACCTGCCATTGCCAGAAGGTTTGCTGTGTCTCCCAGCACAGTCTCAAGAGCATGGAGGAGATTCCAGGAGACAAGAGCATGGAGAAGATTTTAGGAGACAAGAGCATGGAGGAGATTCCAGGAGACAGGCAGTGACTCCAGGAGAGCTGGACAGGGCCGTAGAAGGTCCTTAACCCATCAGCAGGACCGGTATCTGCTCCTTTGTGCAAGGAGGAACAGGATGAGCCCTGCCAGAGCCTTACAAAATGACCTCCAGCAGGCCACTGGTGTGAATGTCTCTGACCAAACAATCAGAAACAGACTTCATGAGGGTGGCCTGAGGGCTCAACATCCTCTAGTGGGCCCTGTGCTCACGGCCCGGCACCATAGAGCTGGATTGGCATTTACCATTGAACACCAGAATTGGCAGGTCCACCACTGGCCCCCTGTGCTTTTCACAGATGAGAGCAGGTTCACCCTGAGCACATGTGACAGACGTGAAAGGGTCTGGAGAAGCCGTGGAGAACGTTCTGCTGCCTGTAACATGGTTCAGCATGACCATTGTGGTGGTGGGTCAGCGATGGTCTGGGGAGGCATCTCCATGGAGGGACACACAGACCTCTACAGGCTAGACAATGGCACCCTGACTGCCATTAGGTATCGGGATGAAGTCCTTGGACCCATTGTCAGACCCTACGCTGGTGCAGTGGGTACTGGGCTCCTCCTGGTGCCGTGGGTTCTGGGTTCCTCCTGGTGCAGTGGGTCCTGGGTTCCTCCTGGTGCAGTGGGTCCTGGGTTCCTCCTAGTACACGACAATGCCCGGCCTCATGTGGGAGAGTATGCAGGCAGTTTCTGGAGGATGAAGGAATTGATAACATTGAATGGCCCCCACGCTCCCCTGACCTAAATCCAATAGAACCCCTCTGGGATGTCATGTTTTGGTCCATCCCAGGTTGCACCACAGACTGTCCAGGAGCTCAGTGATGCCCTGGTCCAGATCTGGGAGGAAATCCCCCAGGACACCATCCGTGGTCTCTTTAGGAGCCCCCCCCCCCCCACGTTGTCAGGCATGCATACAAGCACGTGGGGGCCACACAGACTACTGAGGACCATTCTGAGTTGCTGCAATGACATTTCACCAACATGGACTCGCCTGCTGCATCTTTCTTTACTTTGATTTTCGGGGTGTCTTTAAATTCAGTCCTCTGTAGGTCGATCATTTCCATTCCATCCAACGATGGGGCGTCCTTACGTTCCTCACCCATCCCCCGTCCATGTCAGTATAGAGATCCAGCAGGAGATTCCTCCCCATTGAGATCTGATGGGTTTTCAAAGTGTTCCTTTAATTTTTTGAGCAGTGTGTGTATATATATATATATATTTATTTTCTTTTTGTTCACAAAAAAAAAATGCTTAAAGCAGCACTAAACTCTAACATCACCATAAGCTACTAACATTAGTAAATAGATAGAAAGGTATAATATAATATATTTACTTGTTTAATTTTTTTCCCCATTTTTCAGTTGCTTCCTGGTTTCTGGCCTAGGCTATTATGATGTCATGCATCCCATGAGTCTCCATGGGAGGAGGGGGCTGTCTCAGTTAAGCAGACCCACTTGCCTGCATGCCTGAGCTAAGGGCAGAAGGATTCCAGGAATTAAATGCTACATGAATCATCTGCCCTTACTCAAGATGGCCACAACTAGAAATACTAGATGTGTGTGTGTGTGGTAAGGGGTTCAAATTGATTTCTAATAATAAAACCCCATTGTGATATAAATGGATGCGGGAGTTTGCTTTAAGTATTAAAAATGAATGAAGTAGTGTTTTTAGTTGGAGGTGCTCAGATACAGTTTAGTTCCAGATAGTTTAGTTCCACTTCTTTGGTATGTGTCCCCAATGGGGGAGATTTATCCCTCGGCTGTCTCACAAGACAAAGTGATGGGAGAGCCAAAATTTTAAATTTATCACCAGAGCAAAAGGTGAGGGAAACCTTTCTATGGGAACACCGTTTCCTCTAATTTTCTGTCTCATCTCTGGGAGAGGATGTGAAGGGAAATTTCCCCAAAGGGAAACAGATGAAAAAAAAAAAAAAAAACCCTGTCGTTGACCCTTTCCTACTCTATCCAATAAAAAAAAAAAAAATAAATAAATTTATGCAGACCCCTAAACACTTGCTGGCATAATGATTGGATGAACGAGAGAGTCTACTAAATTGCATGGTGGAGCACGTGACCCTTTAAAGTAGAACCTCGGCCTTCCCTTCAGTCTTGCCCAGTTGTACCGGCTCCTCTCCTGGACTGAATTTGCTTCTCACAGCTGTTTGAAGACAACTCTCCATTAGCTTCTTCCCTGGACACAGCGGCCAGGTACAGGGACATCAGAAACACATCGATTGCAGGTTATTTTGAAGCTAAGGAGACGGGGAGGGCACTGGGGACCAAGAGGATGCTGGAGACTGGGGAGACGATGGAGACTGGAAGGACAATGGGTGGGGAGTGGGAGGACTATGGAGATCCGGGGGGGGCTATGGGTGGAGACTTGAAGGAAAGTGGGGACTGGGAGGACGAGGGAGACCGGGAGGACAATGGGGGGCCAAGGGGACAATGGGGAATGGGGGGGGGGGACGGGGGCGATGGCTGGAGACTAGGAAGATGATGAGGACTGGTGGAAGGACTATGGGAACGATGGGGACTGGGAGGACTAATGGGGACCGGGAGGAGGATGATGGGGACTGGGAGGACAATGGGGACTGGAAGGACGACTATGGTTGGGGACTGGGAGGATAATGGGGACTGGAGGGATGGTGGGGAGCAGAGGGAGGACGATGGGGACTGGGAGTACTAGGAGGAATGGGGACGACTATGGGTGGGGACTGGGAGGACTATAAGGACTGGGAGGATGATGGGGGGCCAGGGGGATGATGGGGACTGGGAGAACTGGAGCACGATGGGGGAACTATGGGGACTAGGAGGAGGATTATGGACCGGAGGGGAGGATGATGGGGATCGGGAAGACGATGGGTGGGGACTGGGAGGACTATGGGATTGGGAGGATGATGGGGGCCTATGAGGAGGATTATGGATGGGGACCGGGGGGAGGAGGACGATGGGGACCGGGAGGACGATGGGCGGGGGACTGGAAGGATGTTGGAGATTGGGAAACCACTGAGTGGTGGAAAGACTGGTAAGCACAGATTGAATCGGGCTGAAATGGAGGAAGTGGGGGGAACGTCCTGTTGCTGGTTTCAATTGGATCCATGAGAACAGTAGTTGGAATGCTTGTCATCGGTAACTTTCTTTTCCACAGATTCTGCTACTCCTCAGTCTTGTCCTGCCAGTGACAGCCCAGGTAAGCAGTCTGCTGGGTATAGGCGGGGCCGTTTATAGACACCATGCTATCCTAGGTGCACCAAAATCATGGCAATCAACTGTACAAGCTCCACCCCTTATATCATGCAACCTTTCCTAAGTTGTCCCGGGGATTGTCCTAAAATCTGTACAGGGTTCATTCTTTAGTTGCCAACATCCCAAGTTCATATACCCAGAGCCGTGTCCCCCCAACAGTTTTTGCTGGGACTCAAAACAGATAATTGAAAGCATGTAAATCATTTTATTACAAAAATTGTTAAACACCATAGTTTGACACATCACACAAATATTAAAATCAGAAAGTGCATCCTAAAAGGAGTCACAGATTCTTAACTTTTGCCACCTTTTGTCATGTTACGGCCTTCTTCCAAAATGGATTAAATTCATTTTTTTTTCCTTCCACATTCTACAAACAATACCCCATAGTGACAATGTGAAAGAAGTTAGTTTTGAAATCTTTGCAAAATATTAAAAATAAAAAATCCCCCATGTAACATAAGTTTTCCCAGCCTTTGCTCAATCCTTTCTTGAAGCCCCTTTAGCCCCAATTCCGGCCCTCGAGTCGTTCTGAGTACGATGCTACAACAAGCTCGGCACACCTGTTTTTGGGGTGATTTCTCCCATTCTTCTTTGCAGGACCTCTCCAGCTTCATCAGGTTGGATGGGGATTGTCAGCCATTTTTCAGATCTCTCCAGAGATGTTCAATCAGGTTTTTTCAAGTCTGGGCCACTCCAGGACATTCCCAAAGTTTGGCCCGTAGCCACTTCTTTGTTTATGTGGGCCGTGTGCTTAGGGTCGTTGTTCTGTTGAAAGATGAAAAGTCGCCCCCAGTCTAAGGTCCAGAGTGCTCTGGAACAGGTTTTCATCAAGGATGTCTCTGTACATTGCTGCACTCATCTTTCCTTCCATCCTGACTAGTCTCCCAGTTCCTGCCACTAAAAAAAACAAACCCACAGCATGATGCTGCCACCACCATGCTTCACTGTAGGGATGGTATTGACCAGGAGGTGAGCGGTGCCTCCAGACATGACGCTTTACATTCAGGCCAAATAGAGTTCAATCTTGGTTTCATCAGACCAGAGAGTTTTGTTTCTCATGGTCTGAGAGTCCCTCAGGTTGCCTTTTGGCAAACTCCAGGCGGGCTGCCATTTGCCTTTTACTGAGGAGTGGCTTCCGTCTGGGCCACTCTACCCATACAGGCCTGATTGGTGGAGTGCTGGCAGAGGTGGTTGTTCTTCTGGAAGGTTCTCCCCTCTGCAGAGAGAAACGATGGAGCTCTTTCAGAGTGACGCATCGGGTGCTTGATTACCTCCCTGGCTTCAGTCTGGCCACTCTAAATCCATACAGGCCTGATTTTGGAGTGCTGCTGAGATGGTGGTTCTTCTGGAAGGTTCTCCTCTCTCCACAGAGAAAATGCTGGAGCTCTTTCAGAGTGACCATCGGTGGCTTGATTACCTCCCTGGCTAAAGCCCTGCTCTCGTCGATCACTCATTTTGGTTGGGCGGCCTGCTCTAGGAAGATTCCTGGTGGTTCCAAACTTCTTAAATTTACGGATGATGGAGGCCACTGTGCTCATTGGGACCTTCAATGCTGCAAGAAATGTTTCTGTACACTTCCCCAGGATCTGTGCCTTGATACAATCCTGTCTCGGAGGTATTGTCTACGGACAATTCCTTGGACTTCACGGCTTGGTTGGTGCTCTGACATGCACTGTTACCTGTGGGACCTTCTATAGACAGGTTTATGCCTTTCCTAATCATGGTCCAATCAACTGGGTTTCTCAGCGAGTGGACTCCAATCCACTGAATGTCCCACGGGTGGACTCCAATCCACTGAATGTCCCACGGGTGGACTCCAATCCACTGAATGTCCCAACGGGTGGACTCCAACCCACTGAATGTCCCACGGGTGGACGCTCCAACCCACTGAATGTCCCCACGGGTGGACTCAATCCACTGAATGTCCCACGGGTGGACTTCTCCAATCCACTGAATGTCCCACGGGTGGACATCCAATCCACTGAATGTCCCACGGGTGGACTCCAATCCACTGAATGTCCCACGGGTGGACTCCAATCCACTGAAATGTCCCACGGGTGGTCTCCAATCCACTGAATGTCCCACTGGTGGACTCCAATCCACTGAATGTCCCACCGGGTGGACTCCAAGGAACTCAAGTTGTGGAAACATCTCAGGATGATCAGTGAGAACAGGATGCACCATTTTAAGTGTCATGGCAAAGGCTGGGAATAACCTTCGTACATGGTTTTTTTTTTCCATTTTTTAATAAATTGCAAAGATTTCAAACAAACTTCTTTCACATTGTCATTTTGGGGTATTGTTTGTAGAATGTGGAGGAAAAAAATGAATTTAAACACATTTGGGAATAAAGCCGTAAACATAACAAAATTATGGGCAAAAAAGAAGGCGTCTGGGAATACTTTCTGGATGCACTGTACATCCAAACATGGCAAAAAGCTGCCTGTAACACTTGCTATGAGCTGAGAAGTAGCGTTTCACCCTCTCCTGTGACCCAGAAGAGACAGAGAGAGGGCAAGTGAACTTCAGCTGAAAAACCCCGACGCGTTGTTTCAGAACACAAGTCTTTGCCTTAAAAGTCCCAGCTAAAATAGTTGCGGACCACAGCCCTGGGTATAAAATCTGTATTGATCCCAGTATTGTGCCCTCCTGACTCCCCCCTGTACTGTGCCCTCCTGATCCCAGTATTGTACCCTCCTGACCCCCCCATACTGTGCCCTTCTGACCTCCCCCCCTGTACTGTATCCCTCCTGCCTCCCCCTGTACTGTATCCTCCTGCCTCCCCCCGTACTGTGCCCTGAACCTGACTGCCACCTCCCCCCTGCACTGTGCCCACCTGACTCCCTGCACTGTGCCCACCTGACTCCCCCCTGCACTGTGCCCACCTGACTCCCCCCTGTCCTGTGCCCTCCTGACTCCCCCCTGTCCTGTGCCCTCCTGACTCCCCCCTGTCCTGTGCCCTCCTGACTCCCCCCTGTCCTGTGCCCTCCTGACTCCCCCCCTGTCCTGTGCCCTCCTGACTCCTCCTGTACTGTGCCCTCCTGCCTCCCCCCCGTACTGTGCTCTCCTGACTCTCCCTGTACTGTGCCCTCCTGACTCCCCCTGCTTACTGTGCCCTCCTGACTCCCCCTGTACTGTGCCCTCCTGACTCCCCCTGTACTGTGCTCCCTCCTGACTCCCCCCAGTATTGTGCCCTCCTGACTCCCCCAGTATTGTGCCCTCCTGAACTCCCCCTGTACTGTGCCCTCCTGACTCCCCCTGTACTGTGCCCTCCTGACCCCCCCTGTACTGTGCCCACCTGACTCCCCCTGCACTGTGCCCACCTGACTCTTCCCCTGCACTGTGCCCACCTGACTCCCCCCTGGTACTGTGCCCTCCTGACTCCCCCCTGTACTGTGCCCACCTGACTTCCCCCTGTACTGTGCCCTCCTGACTCCCCCCTGTCCTGTGCCCTCCTGACTCCCCCCTGTACTGAGCCCTCCTGCCTCCCCCCCGTACTGTGCTCTCTCCTGACTCTCCCTGTACTGTGCCCTCCTGACCCCCCCCCTATATTGTGCCCTCCTGACTCCCCCTGTACTGTGCCCTCCTGACTCCCCCTGTACTGTGTGCCCCTCCTGACTCCCCCCTGTACTGTGCCCTCCTGACTCCCCCCTGTACTGTGCCCTCCTGACTCCCCCCTGTACTGTGCCCTCCTGACTCCCCCCTGTACTGTGCCCTCCTGACTCCCCCCTGTAACTGTGCCCTCCTGACTCCCCCCTGCACTGTGCCCTCCTGACTCCCCCTGCACTGTGCCCTCCTGACTCCCCCTGCACTGTGCCCTCCTGACATCCCCCCCCGTACTGTGCCCTCCTGACTCCCCCCCCGTACTGTGCCCTCTCCTGACTCCCCCCCCCGTACTGTGCCCCCTCCTGACTCCCCCCCCCGTACTGTGCCCTCCTGACTCCCCCCCCGTTACTGTGCCCTCCTGACTCCCCCCCCACCGTACTGTGCCCTCCTGACTCCCCCCCCGTACTGTGCCCTCCTGACCCCCCCCGTACTGTGCCCTCCTGACTCCCCCTGTACTGTGCCCTCCTGACTCCTCACCCCTGCACTGTAAGTGGCCCCAAGTACCGCTTCTGTATATATTAATGACATTCTTCGACTTTATAACACGAGTCGTTTTAAAGAGGCATTTTTTTCAATGGTTGTGAACTTAGGAAGTGTTCTTCAAACAGAAGCTGGGCGGAAGTTATCAGGCCATTGGGAAAATACATCAGTTCACAAATATCAGCACAGCGATGGTACCGCCGCCCCGCCGCAGCTCATCCCGCCCAATCCTGGCTTACCAGATAACAGCAATACTCCAACAGCCATGCCTACAATTACAAATGTAGCTCCACCGTACCCCATAGAGGCAATTAGTGACCCCCAAGGAGCTCGGTGGACGAGCACTTCACCTGAGGGCAGTGTCCTTGACTCTCTGTGGGGACGAAAGAGATGGGCGCCATTCTCTTTAGGAAATTTTACAGAGTTTATTAAAGGACCAATACACTCAGGTAGAGCCGGGATCGGGGCACAGGGGGGCCCAGAAAAGCCAAAATACAGACTCCTTATCAACCACTCAAACGCAATACAGAAGCACGTTTAACCCTTTTGCTAACAGAGCCAATTTTTTTTTGCATTTTTTTTTGCACACGTTTAAAAAAATCATTTTCAGCCTAAAGATTAGTTAAAAAAAGTCCAAAAATACTTGTACTTTCTGAAACGCCGACACCCTAGAGAATAAAATAGCAGTCATTCCAATTTAGGTCACAAGATGTTTAGTACAATGGTTGATGAAATGAAAAATTTCAGTAAACAACAAAAAAACTAAAACAAAACAAAAAAAATGCAAATAGTTAAATTTTAGGATGCACAAATACAATATATTGCCCAACTTTGTGATAAAATCCAAAAGAGACCCTGGGAACCCTGATGGGCACCTCAGTACAAAGGGGACACCCTAAATAGGCACCCATTAGTGGTGACAACAAAGATGTAATATCCTATACCAATGTTGTGATAAAATCCAAAAGGGACCCTGGGACCCTGACGGGCACCACCATGCAAGAGGGGACCCTGATGCGCACCACCATGCAAGCGGGTGACCTTGATGGGCAGGCAGATGCAAGGGGGGATCCAGATGGGCACGCAGATGCAAAGGGGGGACCTGATGGGCACCTCAGTACAAGGGGGGGGACACCCTAATGGGCACCCATTAGTGGTGACAACAAAGATGTAATATCCTATACCAATTTTGTGATAAAATCCAAAAGGGGACCCTGACTGGCACCCACCATGCAAGGGGGAACCCTGATGGGCAGCACCATGCAAGCGCGGGGACCCTGATGGGCAGGCAGATGCAAGGGGGAACCCTGATGGACACCCACCCAGAAGCAAGGGGGGCCCTGATGGGCACCTCAGTGCAAGGGGACACCCTAATGGGCACCCATTAGTGGTGACAACAAGATGTAATATCCCCTATACCAATTTGTGATAAAATCCAAAAGATGAGGCCGCATGGCCGAGTAAATAGATACCCAACAGCGTTGATAAAAATTGCGTCCTCCTGAAACGCCAACAAACTTCAGTACCAGGGGCGGACTGACCATTTGGAAAACTCGGGCACTGCTCCGAGGGCCCGGGGTCAGTAAGGGGCCCCATGAGATGCCCCTGGGTACCTTTTTCATAGGCTTTTTGGAGTAGTTGGGCAAGGACACAGGAGACCCCATGATCCCCTATTGCCCGGGGGGCCTATGAGTTGTCAGTCCGCCCCTGTTCAGTACCAATATTTATCATAGGGGGACACTTTAAAAGCCCCTACAGGTCATCCCATTTAGAGTCAACCACCAATAGTAGGCCTAGGAATTATTGGGGTCACTCTGGCATAAAACAGAGATATGTAACATGTTCATCACAATCAACGTTTTCATGCGTAGGTAGACTCCCCTGACCTGTGTATTTATGTTTGTACATGTGTGTATGTGAGGGGGGGATCAAAAAATGTCAGGGGTGTTTTTTAAGTGCCTGGGTGTAAATTTAATTCCGTCAACTATTTGGCATTCACAGAAAGACTGTACTTTTGTTTGGGAAAACCGAACAAAAAAAGGGGACTCTGGCGGGCACCCAGAAATGCAAGGGGGGACCCGGTTTTGGGTTCCTTGATGCAGGGAAGGCCCTGTGTTAAGGCACCTAATTGTAAGGGGACACCCTAATGGACACCCCAATTTGCAAGGGGGGACCTGATCGCGGGGGCACCCAGATGCAAGGGGGGGGGCCCAGATGGGCAACCAGATGCAAGAGGGGGACCCAGATGGGTGCAACCAGAAACAAGGGAGGCCCTGATGGTTCATCTCAGTGTAAGGGGGGACCCTGATGGGCACCCTAATGCAAGTGGGGGGGCCCCTGAATGAACACCACCATGCAAAGGGGGGACCCTGATGAGCATCCTAATGAAAAAGGGGGGGACACTGATGAGCATCCTAATGAAAGGGGGGACCCTGATGAGAATCCTAATGAATGGGGGGACCCTGATGAGCATCATCCTAATGAAATGGGGGGACCCTGGTGGGCACCCAGATGCAAGGGGGGGGGCCTGATGGGCACCCCCCGATTGCAGGGGAGGGCCCTGATGGGCACCCAGTACCAATGCAGGGGAGGGGCCCTGATGGGCACCAGATGCAGGGGAGGGCCCTGCTGATGGCACCCAGATGCAGGGGGAGGGCCCTGATGGGCACCCAGATGCAGGGGAGGGCCCTGATGGGCACCCAGATGCAGGGGGGGCCCTGATGAGGCACCCAGATGCAGGGAGGAGGGACCGCCCGATGGGCACCCAGATGCAGGGGAGGGCCCGATGGGCACCCAGATGCAGGGGAGGGCCCCGAGGGCACCCAGATGCAGGGGAGGGCCCCGAGGGCCCCATGGGCACCCAGATGCAGGGGAGAGGCCCCGATGGGCACCCAGATGCAGGGGATGGCACCCAGAGGGCCCGATGGGCACCCAGATGCAGGTGGAGAGGGCCTGATGGGCACCCAGATGCAGGGGAGAGGGCCTGATGGATGGGCACCCAGATGCAGGGGAGAGGGCCTGATGGGCACCTAGATGCAAGGTGGGGGAACCCTGGTGGGCACCCAGATGCAGGGGGGGCCCTGATGGGCACCCAGATGCAGGGGAGGGGGCCTGATGGGCACCCAGATGCAAGGTGGGGGACCCTGGTGGGCACCCAGATGCAGGGGGGGACCCTGGTGGGCACCCAGATGCAGGGGGGGGACCCTTGGTGGGCACCCAGATGCAGGGGGGACCCTGATGGGCATCCTAATGAAAGGGGTACCCTGATGGGCATCCTAATTAAAGGGGTACCCTGATGGGGCACCCAGATGCAAGGGTGTGGAACCTGATGGGCACCTAGATGCAAGGGGGAACCCTGATGGACACCCCAATGCAAAGGGGGGACCCTGAGGTGCACACAGATGCAAGGGGGGACCCTGAGGGCACACAGATAGCAAGGGGGGACCCTGAGGGGCACCCAGATGCAAGGGGGGACCCTGATGGGCACCCAGATGCAAGTGGGGGACCCTGATGGGCACCCAGATGCAAGGGGGGACCCTGATGGAGTACTTGAACCATTGAGATCCTAGCTGAGGGGTAAGTTATTTTTGGGGGAAAGATCAATGTAACAATGAACTCGATTTCTCGGTCAATTTCCCTGTCGCTTTATCTAGACGCTTCAGACGGATTGTCTACAAATGATGGTCCCCCCCACAGCTCAGTAATGTGCTCTCTCCATCTCTCTGCAGATTCACAAACTAACATCCCCTTCTGCAACCACTGAACCAGGTGAGACAACAACGACTAAAAAACATTCAATGGAGCAAAAACGATTCGAATCCCTTTCAGATTCTTATAGCCATCTGCTTCCCTGCTGAAGAAATTTCGTTCTCCGTAAACAAACGGTCGATTCTCAATTTGTTTTTATATTAATAGTAAAAAGGTGAGGTCAGAACATATTGGCCTCATAAAAGATGATCGGGGGACAAATCACCAGGACTTGCACCCAAGAGTTCTAAAAGAACTTAGCCATGTTAGAGCCAGGCCAATATTTCTAATTTTTTTTTTTTTTTAGGACAACGTACTGCCAGGAACAGTAACAGGATTGCATTGTTGCTGCTGGGGTGGGGCCGTGTCTATACATCCCTTTTGATACAAATATAGGAATTTTGCTCCTTCCCCAACAGGTCTCACAGTAATCACTCCTCATGTACCAGCTGCCAAAGATACAAGTGTTTATTATGGATTTAATATTCTTTTTCTATTTTCAGCAGAATCTTCCAAACCTTTCACCACTTCCTTCAGCCATGAATCAGGTAAGACAACATGGGGATGAGAAATGGAGGAAGATTAGCAATCTATTGACAAAAGATGTTAGAAAAAAAAAAAAATTGACCAGAGTTAAAGTTTTTAATCAGCAATGGCTACTGTAGATAAAAAAAATATTACGTCGTATGTATGTATTTTCATCCCATGAATGAGCCAAAAGTATTTACATTGTGGCCACAATACCATCGCAGCAATCCTGATCCCGTGAAAAGGAACAAAAAAAAAAAACAATCGCTGTCATCTGATCCCGTGCCAAAGAAAAATAAAAAAAAAAAAAAAAAAAAAAAAAAAAAAAAAAAAAAAAAAAAAGAAAAAAAAAAAAAAAAAAAAAAAAAAAAAAAAAAAAAAAAAAAAAAAAAAAAAAAAAAAAAATAAAAAAAAAAAAAAAAAAAAAAATAAAAAAAAAAAAAAAAAAAAAAAAAAAAAAAAAACAAGTCCCTGCTGTCATTTTGACAGCCAGGAATTGCCACAGAAATTTTTTATTTTTTTTTTTAAAAGGTTTAGAACCTCTATTCTAGTTGTTATTGTTGCCGGTAGCAGATCATCCAATGACAGTGATGGGAGATCCAAAACTTTTACACATTTTCCCAGAACAGGAAGGTGAAGGACGGAATCTTCCCCACAATAAAGATGTAATATCCTACACTTGCAGTTTTTGACTTTTGGACAGGAAGGGAAGGAAAATATTCCCAATGTGACCGAGATAGAAGCTTCAACCCCACCCAAGTAACCCGAACAAAAAAGGGGGACTCTTACGGGCACCTGACCACCATGCAAGAGGGGGACCCTGATGGGGCACCCAGATGCAGGGGGGCCCTGTTAGGCACCCCGATGCAAGGGGGACACCCTGATGGGCACCCCCCATGCAAGGGGACACCCTGATGGGCACCCCCATGCAAGGGGACACCCTGATGGGCACCCCCATGCAAGGGGACACCTGATGGCACCCCCATGCATAGGGGACACCCTGATGGCACCCCATGCAAGGGGACACCTGATGGGCACCCCCATGCAAGGGACACCCTGATGGGCACCCCCATGCAAGGGGACACCCCTGATGGGCACCACCATGCATAGGGGGGATCTTGACAGGAAACTATCACGCAAGGGGGGACTCTGATGAGCATCCTAATGCAAGGAAGGACACTGATGGGCATCCAGATGCAAGGCAGGACGTTGATGGGCACCCAGATGCAAGGGAGGACCCTGATGGGGCACCCAGATACAAGGGGGGGGACCCTGATGGGCACCCAGAATACAAGGGGGGGACCCTGATGGGCACCCAGATACAAGGGGGGGACCCTGATGGGCACCCAGATGCAAGGGTGCAAGGGGGGACCCTGATGGGCACCCATTAGTGGTGACAAACATGTAATATCCTATACCCAAAAAAAAAAAAAAAAAAAAAAGATCCTTTGGTCCATACTTTGACCGACCAGAAACAAGGAGATCATAACAAGCATGCCACCTGTGTGAGAAGCTTCCGATTGGAAGACCCGACACCTTCTCACTGCTGCATACTAGTTTAAATAATTGTAATACTGAGGCGACCTGTTTATTGCCCGCTAACGACATCTCTGTATATTTTCTCTCTCCCTTGTCAGAGGCTGACCAGACTACAGAAGGGGGGGTGCAGGCCTCTAGTACGGCCGGGCTGGATATCGGGATCGGTGAGTTGATTGGAAGCTGCTGGGACACTCAATGGTCTAGACCGGGGGAGTGGTCTCCAAGCCAAGGCTTTAGGAGGGCCAGACTGTGGCCAGTGGGAGCAAAAAAATGCCCCAGCATCAGTGCCCCATCATTGGTTTTAATGGGGGGGGGGGGAAATAGTGCCCCATTGTTGATATCAATGAGAAGAATAGGTGACCATCATAGGTTGATCTAGACTAGTGGTCTCCAAACTGCGGACCGGGGGCTCGATGCAGCCCTTTGCTTGCTTTTACCCGGCCCTTGGGGCACCATTTCATCCACTGATACCAACAATAGGGGCATAATAACTGACACCAATGAAGGGGCACAATTCTTCCCAATGACACAAACAAGGGAGCTCAATGACGCCAACGATGGGGCACAATTCTCCCACTGACACCAACGAGGGGGGTATTGGTTTTTCTCATTGACATTTTGATGGGACCTTTTCTACTCCCAATGGCCACAGTCTGCTCCCTCCCCCTAAAGTCTGAAGGACAGTAAACTGGACCTTTGTTTGGAGACCTTTAACCAGTGGTCTCCAAACTGCAGCCCTGGGGGCTGGATGTGGCCCTTTGCTTGCCTTTATCTGGCCCTTGAGGCACTATTTCACCTTGTAACACCATTCCCCCTACTGACACCATCAATGGGCCCCTCTTCTGGCCTGGGCCCCATACAGGAGGACTGGTGGTGGTGTTGGTGGGGGGGAATAAATGAAAAATGTGAGTATGTAATGGGCGAGGGGGGAGAGTAAAATAATCAGGGTAATCTCATCAACCGGGGAGATATGAGAATATGGCTGCAGATCCAGGTCACGGGTGACCACTCAAAATTGAAATATTGATTTTGGGTGGAACCAGATTAGGAAGCCAAAACGAAGTATGACCTGGAGGTGTCATTTATAGATCGAGTGATTCGGCCCATTTCTTGTCTTTATAGTGGAGCACACTACAACAGCAGAGCACGAGGAGGTCCTGAATTCAACCGACAACGCAACTACCGGTGAGACAAATTGGACGACAGGGTGTCAGGGTCTATAGAGAGAATCATTCTTGTACGACACCTATTGGTCACACACAGTACTGCAGATTCCTGCCGCCAATTTAAAATATAATCCAAGAAAAAAAAATGGAGAATAGAGGAGGAGAAAAAAAAATGGTTTCAAAAGATCTCTGTGCTTTGCCAGGATTTCAGCAAACCATATTGCGGATTCCTGCTTCTGTCTGGTAGATACCGATGTAAGCTTGGCCAGTGCACCTTCTGCGCCCGACCGCTAAGTGGGAGGGTCTACCTTGATTATAATCGCACATTAATTTCCAGTGTTGTAAGAGGAACCCCCACCCATCTGATGCAGGGATTGTTCATTACTTGGCCTCAAGCTCTGTGCCAACGTCTGGAAATGGCCGTGAGCCAAGTCCATCTACCCAATAGTCCGGGTTCTCTGTATAGCGGGGGTCTCCAAACGTTCTAAACAGGTCCAGTTTATTGTCCTTCAGACTTTAGGGGGGGGGGCTGGACTGAGCTTGGTGGGGGTAAACAATGCCCCATCGTTTGTATTGGGGGTGGCTGTGGTGGTTGGTGTCAGTGGGAGGGAGGGAGGGTGCCCCCGTTCTTGGTGGAAGCAAAGGAGAGGGTCCCACTGTAGGCAGTGACGGTGCGATGCGAGGGAGGGGCCCCACTGTAGGCAGCAGGGCGAGGGAGAGGGCCCCCACTCTTGGCGGGCAGCGCGAGGGAGAGGGCCCCCACTCTTGGCGGGCAGCGCGAGGGAGAGGGCCCCCACTCTTGGCGGGCAGCGTGAGGGAGAGGGCCCCCACTCTTGGCGGGCAGCGCGAGGGAGAGGGCCCCACTCTTGGCGGGCAGCGCGAGGGAGAGGGCCCCCACTCTTGGCGGGGCAGCGCGAGGGCCCCCACTCTTGGCGGGCAGCGCGAGGGAGAGGGCCCCCACTCTTGGCGGGCAGCGCGAGGGAGAGGGCCCCACTGTAGGCTTCAATTGCAGGAATCATACCTCAAGGGCCAGATAAAAGGCAAGCAAAGGGCCACATCCGGCCCCCGGGCCGCAGTTTGGAGGCCACTGCTATATAGTTTGAGGACCCATCATTACCAACAGCACAGGCAGAGACAACTTGCATATAAATTTGGTTTTTGTTTTTTTTGCCTACCCTTTTATATAAAAGAAAAAAAAAAACAAAAAACAACTAATCAGGAACAATGTTGCATTATTTCAGGTGCATTACATCACAGTCAGCTGGAAGCCGATTGGTGGCTGAGGGCTCCGCCTTCCTGAAGAGCATCACCGCTATTATAGAATATCTATACCGAGATCAGTCATGTCATACAGTACGGAGCCCCAGGCTTAGTTTACAAGCGTGCGCATGCATTGGCCCGTGCACATGCGTATTTCCATGTGTCCTGTGTAGGGGGGCCAATTCATTTCAACAGGCTGCCCAACGCACAGGAAACTCAGAAAAAGAGACCCAAAATCCGCCATTCCGAAACACACGCACCATTGTTTTTTTTTTAAGAACATTTTCAGCATGAAGAAAAAAAAAAAAAAAACCTGTTGATCCTGCCAGAAATCCAGAGTCCTCGTCACTTCCTGTGCACTTTTGCCATCTTCTGTACCTACAAAACCCCTCCCACCTATCTAATGGGGATGGAGCCGGGGAGGTGTTTGTAGTCCAGATCAGGAGAGCAGCCTAGGGTGACAACTTCCTGGATACAGTACAGAGAATGAGCGTTGTCACCCTAGAGCAGGATGCGTGTTACTGGCAGGATCACGAGGGGGAATATCCTAAAAAAAAACTAATGCAGTCACCAGATCTAAGACCAGTAATCTGCAATATGTTACATTTTGTTTTTGGGTTGAATACTTTAGCCTGGATCGATATTTGCATTGTAACAAAGCGTACACACACAGCGGAGCTTGTTTACCGCCCCATAATAGACCCATTGTACGGGGCGAGACAATCCGCCTCTGTCAGCACACAACAATGGAAAGATTTCTATACAGAGGAAAAAAAAAAAAAAGAAAGGCACAAAGATCTGACAGCAGAGTGTGGGGCCCCTCCACACCGGGGAGACGAGGGACATTTATTATTTATAAAAAAGTGTATATAAAAAACAAAACAAACAATAATAAATAAATACATATTTAAAAAAATAAATAAAAAAAGTATATTATATATATATATATATATATATATACACACAGTATGTATGTACTAATTATTTATATATATATATATTATATTTTTTTTTTTTTTTATAAAAAATACAAATTAAAATGTTTAAATTAAATTGAAGTTAAAAGAAAAAAATGACATGACCTGACAGAGATGCACTGCCCAAAACAGATGCCAGTTATGGGAGGAGACATGGAATGAAATCAATCCGGCCCCCAAGAAAATGTTTGTTTGGGGGGGGGCTCGAGAGGTGAGACCATCTAAAAGATAGTTTCAAGTCTAGATCATCCAACCAGAAGGATACAATGGTCCCTGCCCATTGGGGGGGTATGCTGGTCTACTCCTGTCTGAGGGGGGGGGGGTGTTTGGCAGTGGCCCTATTAGAGTGTAAGCTCCTCTGTACAGAGACTGGTGTGACTGTGGGGGGGAGGAGACATTGGAACGTGAGCTCCTCTGTACAGAGACCGATGGGACTGTGGGGGAGGGAAAATTAGAGCGTAAGCTCCTCTGTACAGAGACCGATGTGACAGTGGGGGAGGGGACATTAGAGCGTAAGCTCCTCTGTACAGAGACCGATGGGACTGTGGGGGGGGAGGGGACATTAGAGCGTAAGCTCCTCTGGTACAGAGACCGATGGGAATGTGGGGGGGAGGGGGACATTAGAGCGTAAGCTCCTCTGGTACAGAGACCGATGGGACTATGGGGGGGAGGGGACATTAGAGCGTAAGCTCCTCTGGTACAGAGACTGATGTGACTGTGGGGGGGAGGGACATTAGAGCGTAAGCTCCTCTGGTACAGAGACTGATGTGACTGTGGGGGAGGGGACATTAGAGCGTAAGCTCCTCTGGTACAGAGACTGATGTGACTGTGGGGGAGGGGACATTAGAGCGTAAGCTCCTCTGGTACAGAGACAGATGTGACTGTGGGGGAGGGGACATTAGAGCGTAAGCTCCTCTGGTACAGAGACGGGCTCAGTGTTCTTTGTACAGCGCTCTACTACAGGTTGGAGATACAGTATAGAAATGTATAATAATAATTTTGTGTGATTTCTTTGTCTTACCAGAATTTCCCGCACTGACAACCCCCCTCGCTGACACGGAGCCCACGACAACCCAATCATCCACTACATCTATGTACCGGGGTAAGGAATTGATATCTGAAGTTACTTTGATGCAGTTGGTGCCTAACCCCCCCCCCCCCCCACATAATGGTGCTGAGCCTGGGGGGGTGACTGTCCCTCCTGAGTCCAGGGGGGGGATTAACTGTCCCTGCTGAGCCCCTAGGGGGCGACTGACCCTCCTGAGCCCCGGGGCAACGACTGTCCCTCTTGAGCCAGGGGGGGGGGGGGGGGGTGACTGAGCCCCGGGGGGGGGTGACTTTCCCTCCCTCCTGAGCCGGGGGGGGGGGGGGGGGACCGTCCATCCTGAGCCCCGGGGGGGGGGGGGGGGGGACGACGACTGTCCCTCCTGAGCCCCCGGGGGGGGGGGGGGACTGTCCCGACGACCGTTCCTCCTGAGCCCCGGGGAGCAACCATTCCTCCTGAACCCTGGAGGGGGGCAACTGTCCCTTTTGCCCCCCTCCTGTCCTGGCCCTGTACATGGCAGGTGTGATGGTCAGTTATCCCCCCCAAGGCTTGGTCATGTTGTCTAAAATTGGGATCTATTTGTTCAAAAAAGACAAGGGGTGGGAGGACCGTCCCCGGGGTTCCCGGCTCCTCCCCAGACATTGCGATTGGCTGCCTCGGGATGAACATTTTGGTTCTGTTTTTTTTGCAGCGACCACCAGAAGGGGAGCCACCACATCGGAAGACACTATTCACACCCGAGCAAAAGGTGAGAACCTTTTTTTGGAGGGGGTTGTTTGGTCGCTGTGAAGACAATATAATGGAAGCATGCCAATGAGGAAAGTGGCGGGGTCTGCATCCCCTTTAGAAGTATCTCACCAAAAATGACAGTTCTGTTGCAGGGGATGCCCAAAATTTGAAATGCATCTTAGTGTGGAGCTCTGGGGGAAATCAGGGAGCCAATCACACAAGCAGGAAATGGACATTTGAGGGGTGTTCTGTATACCATCTGTATACAGAACGCCTCCAGGTTGAATTGTACAGAAAATGACAGCGGGTGTGGCCTGAGAAGGAAACGCCCTTTTTTAGTCTCATCCAATTACAATGTGACTCGGGGAGCAATTGGATATGCGGTGTTGTAGTTTTTTTTGCTATTTTTTTCTCCCTCGAAAGTGGAGTTACCCTTTAAGACGCCATAAGATGTATGTAAGGGAACGCCTAAGTGTCACGGGGCCCTTAAACTAGACGAAGCCGATTGGCAAACGTTTATCCTGACAGGTCCAATGTAAACGGAAGACAAACGCGGAACTTGAACATATCCTCGGGCAAAAAATCACTCCCGACCTAACCCGGCATTTCACACTTTTCTGGTTTTCAGACGCGGCCAGACGACTGGAGCACGAGAAGATCTTCACTTACGGTTGGTAAAAAACAAAAACATAAAACAAAACAAAAAAAAACCCAAAACAAACCCCCCCACAAAAAGAAACATTGTACCCTTCTTCTATAGCCGGGGTCTTCAAACTTTCTAAACAAAAGGACCAGTTTTATGTCCGTTATACTTTAGGGGGGCTGGACTGTGGCCAGTGGGAGGAATAGTGCCCCATCGTTGGTGTCAGGGGGGAGGAGTAGCGCCCCACCGTTGGTGTCAGGGGGAGGAGTAGTGCCCCACCGTTGGTGTCAGGGGGAGGAGTAGTGCCCCATCGTTGGCGCCAGGGGGAGGAGTAGCGCCCCACCGTTGGTGTCAGGGGGAGGAATAGTGCCCCACCGTTGGTGTCAGGGGGGGGAGGAGTAGCGCCCCACCGTTGGTGTCAGGGGGAGGAGTAGCGCCCCACCGTTGGCGTCAGGGGGGGAGGAGTAGCGCCCCACCATTGGCGCCAGGGGGAGGAATAGCGCCCCATCATTGGCGCCAGGGGGAGGAATAGCGCCCCATCATTGGCGCCAGGGGGAGGAATAGCGCCCCATCATTGGCGCGCAGGGGGAGGAATAGGGGGAGGAATAGCGCCCCATCATTGGCGCCAGGGGGAGGAATAGCGCCCCATCATTGGCGCCAGGGGGAGGAATAGCGCCCCATCATTGGCGCCAGGGGGAGGAATAGCGCCCCATCATTGGCGCCAGGGGGAGGAATAGCGCCCCATCATTGGCGCCAGGGGGGGAGGAATAGCGCCCCATCATTGGCGCCAGGGGGAGGAATAGCGCCCCATCATTGGCGCCAGGGGGAGGAATAGCGCCCCATCATTGGCGCCAGGGGGAGCGCCCCAATTAGCGCCCCATCATTGGCGCCAGGGGGAGGAATAGCGCCCCATCATTGGCGCCAGGGGGAGGAATAGCGCCCCATCATTGGCGCCAGGGGGAGGAATAGCGCCCCATCATTGGCGCCAGGGGGAGGAATAGCGCCCCATCATTGGCGCCAGGGGGAGGAATAGCGCCCCATCATTGGCGCCAGGGGGAGGAATAGCGCCCCATCATTGGCGCCAGGGGGAGGAATAGCGCCCCATCATTGGCGTCAGGGGGAGGAATAGCGCCCCATCATTGGCGCCAGGGGGAGGAATAGCGCCCCATCATTGGCGCCAGGGGGAGGAATAGCGCCCCATCATTGGCGCCAGGGGGAGGAATAGCGCACCATCATTGGTGTCAGTGGCAGAACTGTTCTTGGGGGGGAATAATGCCCCCCCCCCTCCTTAAGGGCCAGATAAAAGTAAGCAAAGGGCCCCAGTTTGCTCTGTAGCATGAAGCAGACAAAGCCTAGCTGTGATAATTGGCCTCAGCTGATCAATATCTCCATCGATCGATCAATAATCTGCAATAACCCGTGTTTCCCGTTGCAGACTACCTGACCCTGAGGCAGTGGGGATTGATCTGCGCTCTCCTTCTGTGTATTATCGGATTCCTCGTATTGTTCAGTGAGTATCTCGCTCGCCGCCATCTTGGAGGCCATTCACGCCTATTGGCTTTGACGCACACGGGGCCCGCCATTGGTTGGGACGATGAAGGTTACGTCGGCCGTATTCTGATGTGCGTCTGGGTGTCAGGGGACCAGGGGCGGACTGACCATTTGGGAACTCCGCACTGCCCGGGGTCAGTAGGGGGCCCCATGAGATGTCCCTGGTACCTTTCATAGGCTTTTTTGGGTGTGGTTTGAGTGTGGGCGAGGACACAGGGGCCCCATGATCCCCTATTGCCTGGGGGCCCCATGAGTTGTCAGTCCGCCCCTGCAGAGGACTCATTAGGCGTCGGTCTATAGGCACGGTACACCATGTGACTGCAATGGGGCCCCTCAGCTGCTGAGGGATTTTTGGGTCCAGCACCTGGTCTATGTACTGGGATTGGGAATGAATGCGTAGCCTGGGGGTGTCTATAGCCACTAGAGGAACTCTACATTGGAAAGATAAGAGGGGCAACAGGGGCCCCTGAGGGCTTTGCTATGGGGCCCCCCAGCTGCTGAGGGATCTATGGGTCCAGCACCTGACCAATGTACCGGGATTGGGAATGAATGCATAGTCTGGGGGTGTCTATAGCCACCAGAGGAACTCTACATTGGAGAGATAAGAGGGGCCACAGGGGCCCCTGAAGGCTTTGCTAAGGGGGCCCCCATCACCACCCCAAAAATACAAAGTAGAAAGAAGACTTACTGGTGGGCTCTGTGTGTTCCTCTGATAGGGCTCCATGGGGCTTCTCTGCTCCCACCTGTCTGATTGGAGTCACCTGAGCTAAGGGAGGTTGCTGAACCATCAGGTGGCCAATCAGAGAGGAGGAGGGAAGGTCAGGAGTGTCCTCTGCCTTACGGGGTCATCAGACCGGGAATCCTGTCCATGGGGACACCCTGCCAGCAGGAGGAGGAGGGCCGAGGGACTGCACACTTGTGTCTATGGCAGCACCCCCCATAGAAGGAGGAATACCTCCCCACTGCAGCCGTCTGCATGGAGTGTTTATGAGGGGTTCCCACCATCCCTGTGCTGTGTTCCCGGGTCTGTACGCCTGCTGTGCCCATTATGAGGGGTTCCCGCCATCCCTGTGCTGAGTTCCCGGGTCTGTACCCCTGCTGTGCCCATTATGAGGGGTTCCCACCATCCCTGTGCTGAGTAATCGGGTCTGTACACCCGCTGTGCCCATTATGAGGGCTTCCCACCATCCATGTGCTGAGTTCCCGGGTCTGTACCCCAGCTGTGCCCATTATGAGGGGTTCCCACCATCCCTGTGCTGAGTTCCCGGGTCTGTACGCCCGCTGTGCCCATTATGAGGGCTTCCCACCATCCATGTGCTGAGTTCCTGGGTCTGTACCCCAACTGTGCCCATTATGAGGGGTTCCCACCATCCCTGTGCTGAGTTCCTGGGTCTGTACGTCCACTGTGCCCATTATGAGGGGTTCCCACCATCCCTGTGCTGAGTTCCTGGGTCTGTACGCCCGCTGTGCCCATTATGAGGGCTTCCCACCATCCCTGTGCTGAGTTCCCGGGTCTGTACACCCGCTGTGCCCATCATGAGGGGTTCCCACCATCCCTGTGCTGAGTTCCCGGGTCTGTACGCCCGCTGTGCCCATTATGAGGGCTTCCCACCATCCATGTGCTGAGTTCCCGGGTCTGTACCCCAACTGTGCCCATTATGAGGGGTTCCCACCATCCCTGTGCTGAGTTCCTGGGTCTGTACGTCCACTGTGCCCATTATGAGGGGTTCCCACCATCCCTGTGCTGAGTTCCTGGGTCTGTACACCCGCTGTGCCCATCATGAGGGGTTCCCACCATCCCTGTGCTGAGTTCCCGGGTCTGTACCCCCGCTGTGCCCGTTATGTGGGGTTCCCACCATCCCTGTGCTGAGGTTCCTGAAATTTTTTTTTTATAACATTAGGCACACGGGGTCTTTTGATTTAATTTTTTTTATATGATTTCTATTCATCTTCTTCAATCAGAAATTAATGAATCTGTTCCTGCAGGTGGAAGATGTCGGGGATTCTCTTGCCGAGACGACAGAGGAGGTAAGCTGAGAGTCAATGGGGGAGGTAATAATTGGGGAGAATGGAGTGACCGAGCAGAACTGTTATTAGTCATGTGACTGAGCCAGGGGCGGACTGACCATTTGGAAACTCGGGCAATGCTCGAGGGCCCGGGGTCAGTAGGGGGCCCCATGAGATGCACCTGGTACCTTTTTCACAGGCTTTTTTGGGTTTGGGCAAGGACACAGGGGCCCCATGATCCCCTATTGCCCGGGGGCCCCATGAATTGTCAGTCCACTCCTGGACCGAGCAGAACTGTTATTAGTCATGTGACCAGGGGTGGGCTGACCATTCGGGAATTTGGGCACAGCCCGAGGGCCCGGGGTCAGTAGAGGGCCCCATGAGATGTCCCTGGTACCTTTCATAGGCTTTTTTTGCGTGTGGTGTGGGTGAGGACACAGGGGCCCCATGATCCACTATTTCCCGGGGGCCCCATGAGTTGTCAGTCCACCCCTGCATGTGACCAAGCAGAACGGTTATCAGTCATGTGACCGCAGAGTTCTGTTTGAGGATTAGATCCCCTGTCGGGTTTTTATTGCTGTCTGTGTCCCCGCTGGGAAGAGTCGTCCTCTCTATCCGATCCGGTGTCGTCCAGACAGGATGTGATGTGAAATCCAAGAAAAAAAAAGGAAAAAAGTTGTCATCGCCGCAGGAAGTGGGGTGGGGGGGGGCAATCTTCCAATGGGGACACCATGAGCCAATCTGCCCGCATTTTGTAGAGGTTTTCTTTTGTGTCGCCATGACAGGAAGTGAATGGAAATCTCCCCAAAGATCATGACTTTCAGACATTAGCATCGCGGCACGTTGTGTGAACGCACGCTCGTAAACACGCTTTTTAAAAAATGTTGCCTGCGTTAGGCGTTTTTCAGGCATTTTCCGGGGCGTTAATCCCATTGACTTCATTATAGGCGCTTGTGGTGCGGTTTAAACGCTCTGAAAATGACTATGAAACGCCTCAAAAACACGCATAGGGCGTTTGGGGAGCGGTAAAAACCTGTCAAACTCTATATTGGCATTTTGGGAAGAAGTCCAGTGTGAACAAGTCCTAAAGGCAGTGGGATAGCAAATGGACCTAACAAAAAAAAAAAAAACGCACGTTAAAACAACGCGCTGCAGCAGCGAAACGTTCTGACTACAGATTGGTTTTATTTTGACCGTGACAACTTTTATGTCTTTCAGGAAATACAACATAACAGGACTATAGGCTGCTGTGGCCTTAGAACAGAAGAACCAGAACCCAAAAATGACGTCTCACTTCCCATGTGAGAAAAAAACCCAAAAAGCCAACAAAAAGGAGCCAAAAAACTGCCCATAAATGTGTTATTAAAGGAAGCCGTGGTGTGTGGACTGTCATTTGTCGCCATCTCCTGGTTGGTTGTCAGTATGCAGGAGAACGAGGCTCAGTGTAGAGTCGGGGCAGCGAGTTCACATTGGAAGGGGGTTGGGGTTGGGAAAATGTTTGATCTGAATCCCAAGCTTGTGCTGCGACTCCGGATCCTGGTGCAATGCCGGCCATAGACGGGTCGAAAATTGACCGTTTTTTTTTTAAAAAAACAAAAGAAAAAAACAGTTGTTCGATCGTCTGACCTTACCACCAACGGTAAAAAATACGGCTGATTTTCGTCTTGTCTACGGCCGGCATTTAACCCCATAATTACTTCTGTCCCTGCAGAGAGCTCCGCTATTAGATTTTATATGAAAAGTCTTGCGGTTGCAACAATGTATCCATTTCTGGTACAGATGGTTTTATTTGGATACAAATGGATACATTGTTGCAACCGCAAGACTTTTCATATAAAATATAATAGCGGACTGGAATTCTTATAATTTTTTCTTCTTTTTCTTTTTTTTTTCTTCTTCTTCTTTTCTACTTTTTCTTTTTCTTCTTTTTTTTTTTTTCTTTTCTTGTTTTTTTTCTTTTCTGCTTCTTTTTATTTTATTTTTCTTCTTCTTTCTCTTTTCTTTTTCTTCTTCTTTCTCTTTTCTTTTTCTTCTTCTTTCTCTTTTCTTCTTCTTTCTCTCTTCTTTTTCCTCTTCTTTCTCTCTTCTTTTTCTTCTTCTTTCTCTCTTCTTTTACCTCTTCTTTCTCTCTTCTTTCTCTCTTCTTTTTCTTCTTCTTTCTCTCTTCTTTCTCTCTTCTTTTTCTTCTTCTTTCTCTCTTCTTTTTCTTCTTCTTTCTCTCTACTTTCTCTCTTCTTTTTCTTCTTCTTTCTCTCTTCTTCTTCTTTCTCTCTTCTTCTTCTCTCTCTTCTTCTTTCTCTCTTCTTCTTTCTCTCTTCTTTCTTCTTCTTCTTTCTCTCTTCTTTTTCTTCTTCTTTTTCTGCTTCTTTTTCTGCTTCTTTTTCTGCTTCTTTCTCTCTTCTTTTTTTCTACTTTCTCTCTTCTTTTTCTCCTTCTCTTTCTCTCTTCTTTTTCTTCTTCTCTTTCTCTCTTCTTTTTCTTCTTCTCTTTCTCTCTTCTTTTTCTCCTTCTTTCTCTCTCTCTTTTCTTTTTCTTCTTCTTTCTCTCTTCTTTTTCTTCTTCTTTCTCTCTTCTTTTTCTCCTTCTTTCTCTCTTCTTTTTCTTCTTCTTTCTCTCTTCTTTTTTTCTTCTTCTTTCTCTCTTCTTTTTTTTCTTCTTTCTCTCTTCTTTTTCTTCTTCTTTTTCTTTTCTTTCTCTCTTCTCTTTTCTTTTCTCTTTCTCTCTTTCTTTCTTTTCTCTCTCTTCTCTCTTCTCTTTCTCTCTTCTCTTTCTCTCTTCTCTTTCTCTCTTCTCTTTCTCTCTTCTCTTTCTCTCTTCTCTTTCTCTCTTCTCTTTCTCTCTTCTCTTCTTTCTCTTTTCTCCCTTCTCTTTCTCTTTCTCTCTTCTCTTTCTCCCTTCTCTCTTTCTCTTTCTCCCTTTTCTTTCTCTTTCTCCCTTCTCTTTCTCTTTCTCCCTTCTCTTTCTCTTTCTCCCTTCTCTTTCTCTTTCTCCCTCTCTTCTCTTTCTCCCTTCTCTTTCTCTCTTCTTTCTCCCTTCTCTTTCTCCTTCTTCTCTTTCTCCCTTCTCTTTCTCCCTTCTCTTTCTCCCTTCTCTTTCTCCCTTCTCTTTCTCCCTTCTCTTTCTCCCTTCTCTTTCTCCCTTCTCTTTCTCCCTTCTCTTTCTCCCTTCTCTTTCTCCCTTCTCTTTCTCCCTTCTCTTTCTCCCTTTCTTTCCCTTCTCTTTCTCCCTTCTCTTTCTCCCTTCTCTTTCTCCCTTCTCTTTCTCCCTTCTCTTTCTCCCTTCTCTTTTCTCCCTTCTCTTTCTCCCTTCTCTTTCTCTCCCTTCTCTTTCTCCCTTCTCTTTCTCCCTTCTCTTTTCTTTCCCTTTCTCTCTTTCTCCTTCTCTTCTCTTTCTCCCTTCTCTTTCTCCCTTCTCTTTCTCCTTTCTCCCTTCTTTTTCTCTTTCTCCCTTCTCTCTTTCTCTTTCTCCCTTCTCTCTTTCTCTTTCTCCCTTCTCTCTTTCTCTTTCTCCCTTCTCTCTTTCTCTTTCTCCCTTCTCTCTTTCTCTTTCTCCCTTCTCTCTTTCTCTCTTCTTCTCCCTGATCACGGCTCAGATTTTTTTTATCGGTAAAACGGTCGGCCAATTTGCCCATCACTGCCAGGAAAATCGGGCGATCGTCAAAATCGGCTGCAAATTTTCCAACATGACCGATAAAAAAAATGTTCAAAAAGCCCGAAAAATGGCCGACCAATTAACCCACTAACTGTGCGAAAATCGGCCGGTTTTTTTTTTCCGGCAGAAAAATTGGCCGATTTTTGACCCGTCTATGGCCGGCATAAGTGAAGTCATTTGAGGTACAAAAAAATAATGAAATGTACTATTAAGTGTCCATATTCAGTGTGTCCCTTTTATATTGTGTCCCCATCAGAGTGCCCCCCTCTTACATCTGGTATCCCCACAAAAGTGCCCCCTCACATCAGTGAGTAACCATCAAAGTGTCCCCCTTAAATTGCATGGCCCCATCAGAGTGACCTCCTTACTTTGGGTGTTCTCCTTGAATCAGGTGTCCCCCTTGCATATTGAGTGTCACCATCAGAGTGCCCCCTTACATCTGGTATCCCCACAAGTGTGCCCCTTACATCCAGACTCCCCAAAATTGCCCCCTCACATCAGAAGTCCCCATCAGTGTCCCCCTTAAATTTCCTGTACCCATCAGAGTGTTCTCTTTACTTTGGGTATTCTCCTTGCATCTGGTGTCGCCATCAAAACACCACCTTACATCAGGGGATTTTCCCTCAGAGTGCCCCCTTACATCGGGTGTTGCCATTAGAGAACCCCCTTGCATTGGGTGTCCCCATTAGAGTGCCTCCTTACGTCTGGTATCCCCACAAGTGTGCCCCTTGCATCAAGACTCCTCAAAAAAGCACCTCCTTACATCGGGTGTCCCCATCAGAAAATCCCCTTGCATTGGGCGTCCCCATCAGAGTGCCCCTACAATGGGGGTCCCATCAGAGTGCCCCCTTACATCAGGTGTTGCCATCAGAATGCCCCCTTACATCTGGTATCTCCACAAGAGTGTCCCCATGCATCAGGTGTCCCCATCAGAGTGCCCCCCTTACATCTGGTATCCCCACAAAAGTGTCCCCTCACATCAGGAGTCCCAATCAAGTGTCACCCTTAAATTGCATGTCCCCATTAGAGTGTCCTCCTTACTTTGGGTGCTCCCCTTGAATTGTGTGTCCCTCTTACATCGGGTGTCCCCATCAGAGCACCCCCTTATATCGGGTGTCCCCATCAGAGAACCCCCTTACATTGGGTGTACCCATCAGAGCACCCCCTTACATCTGGTATCCCCACAAGAGTGTCCCCTTACATCAGGTGTCCCCATCAGAGTGTCCCCTTACATCAGGTGTCCCCATCAGAGTGTCCCCTTACGTCAGGTGTCCCCATCAGAGTGCCCCCTTACATCAGGTGTCCCCTTGCATCAGGTGTCCCCATCAGAGTGTCCCCTTACATCAGGTGTCCCCATCAGAGTGCCCCCTTACATCAGAGTGCCCCCTTACATCAGGTGTCCCCTTGCATCAGGTTTCCACTTACATTAGGTGTCCCCATCAGAGTGTCCCCCTTACATTGGATGTCCCCACCAGAGACATAAAAATATAGAAGAGTTCATTTTTATTTGTATGTTGTTGTTTTTTTTTTTTTTTTTTATGTTTTGCCTGAATACTGGCTATTGGTTGCTAGGATGCTGGTGACCCTACAAACCAATCACTGCATAGGAGGGGGGGAGGGGAACCTGCACTGGGGACCGGCTGGCTGGCATCCCATAAGGAACTGCCACTTGTTCCGGGTCTGGCCTGCGGTCCGCCATTTAGCGCCATTCTGGTTTAGGAAATGAATCGCAGCAGAAACTTCAGCAATACCTGGGAGGAGAAGAAGAGGGAACAGACTGAACTTTTGTAACATTTTATTTCCTCCGATGTAAAGAACAATATACTGAGAATACAAAACTCGATATATATATATATAAAAAGAAAAAGAACAAGAAGCGTGCCAGACACGGACGCAATTTATTTATTTTTTTTCGGTATTCTTAAGATTGCAACTTAGTAACGACCCACGAAACCGATACGTTGTGAAATAATTCGCCTGCGCCTGTCTGCCTGTCCATTGGTTGATGCTCCGCCCATTCCCGCCCCCCCGTCCCGTGTTTAAAATCCCCCCCCCGCCCCGTCAGTACTCTCTCATTTAATAAATATATACAAATCAATTACAGGCCCCGCCCTAAATATGTACGCTTGGCTTATGCAGAATTGAAACGTAGATTTGTGCAAAAAAGAACCAACCATATGCGGTATCCCTTTGCTAGAAGTACAAAAAATAGCTGTTGATCTGCCATGAATCCAGTGTGCTTCCTAGAGGGGCTGCTGCACTGCAATCCCAACCAGCGCTGTCAACCCTGCCTGCTGGACTACAGAACTCCTCCCCCACCACCGCCTGTCCCTCTCCACATGGGATTCATTGATATATTTCCCTGAAAAACCATACAGCTGTCTTGTCTCTCTGTACATATACTGTAAATGAAAAAAGGATCTTGGGAGGTGTAGTTCTGGGGGTGTGCCTAAATCGGGGAATTGCCCTCCCAGTTCCTGCCTTTGTTGGACTACAGAACTCCACCCATCTTCTGCCTGCCCCTCTCTACACGGATTCATTGATTTATTTCCCTGCAAAACAATACAGCTGCCTTTCTGCCTACACACTGTAAATGAAAAAGGATATTGGGAGGTGTAGTTCTGGGAGTGTGCCTAAATCAGGAATTGCCCTCCCAGTTCCTGCCTTTGTTGGACTACAGAACTCCACCCATCTTCTGCCCCTCTCTACACGGATTCATTGATTTATTTCCCTGCAAAACAATACAGCTGCCTTTTTGCCTACACACTGTAAATGAAAAAGGATATTGGGAGGTGTAGTTCTGGGAGTGTGCCTAGATCAGGAATTGCCCTCCCAGTTCCTGCCTTTGTTGGACTACAGAACTCCACCCATCTTCTGCCCCTCTCTACACGGATTCATTGATTTATTTCCCTGCAAAACAATACAGCTGCCTTTCTGCCTGCACACTGTAAATGAAAAAGGATCTTGGGAGGTGTAGTTCTGGGGGTGTGCCTAAATCAGGAATTGCCCTCCCAGTTCCTGCCTTTGTTGGACTACAGAACTCCACCCATCTTCTGTCTCTCTCTACACGGATTCATTGTTTTATTTCCCTGCAAAACCATACAGCTGCCTTGTCTCTCTGTCCATATACTGTATAGGAAAAAGGCTCTCTGGAGGTATAGTTCTGGGGGTGTGCCTAAATCAGGAATTGGCATCGCAGTTCTTGCCTTTGTTGGACTACAGAACGCCATCCATCTGCCACCATCCCTCTACACATGGATTCATTGATTTATATCCCTGCAAAACCATACAGCTGCCTTGTCTTTCTGCCTACACACTGGACAGGGAAAAAGGATCTTGGGAGGTGTAGTTCTGGGGGTGTGCCTAAATCAGGAATTGCCCTCCCAGTTCCTGCCTTTGTTGGACTACAGAACTCCACCCATATCTTCTGCCCCTCTCTACACGGATTCATTGATTTATTTCCCTGCAAAACAATACAGCTGCCTTTCTGCCTACACACTGTATGGGGGAAAAAAGGATCTTGGGAGGTGTAGTTCTGGGGGCGTGCCTAAACCAGTTCCTGCCTCTGAAGCCAATGATGATGCCACTGGGAACAATAAAAAATGTTTCTCACAATAGGAACAAGGTAAGATTTAAAAAAAAAAAAAGACTGGGACGTGATCTAAAGGGGGGAGGGAGGTTTGGGGGTCAATTTGGGTCATGCCTGGACTTACACTTTAAGTGGTCAATATATAAAATATTCTCCAGCATTCATACAGCCATCACAAAAAATCCCCGTATTTTGCCTAACATGCTCATTTCCTATGATAGCTCCATCTGCTGGTCATACTGGAGTATTTTCCTGATTAAGGTGTTTCTGGAAGATAAAGCATTATGGCCACTAGATGGAGCTGCTGATCATAGGGAATGAATGTATTGGATTCAATAGGTAGATGATGGTTCTTGGAATAATTCAGACATTCGAACAGAATTTTTTCTCTATAAATGGACCCTTAAGTGAATGGAGGAGGGCGGGGTAGGCGGACTTCTCGTAGATCCAATGTATTCCTGAAGGAAAGAGCCTTGCCGTACACACACAGGAGCCACAGGAGCCTCAGAAGCCACAGCCTCAGAAGCCACAGGAGCCACAGGAGCCTCAGGAGCCTCGGCATCCACAAAAAATAATTTTTCCTTCTGTATTCTCCATCGTTGGATCCACATTGCAGGAATATCAGAACGAACATAGGACCAGAGGTCAGAGCTGTTCCTTCTTCTATTGGCCGATCCCTATGTCACTCAGCAGTCAGTGGAAGACTCCAAATTCTGATCTGTAGCCCCGCCCTCCTCTTCCATATGCAGAAAAAATGTGTCCATTTATTGAGAGACATAGAGCACGGTGCGAATCCTGATTGTAGAGACAATGATGAGTAAAGCACACAGCTGTCCTTGTAAAGGTCTGGAAATCTGCTGTCAGTGTGTGATTGCCTCTCGGCGTCCATCGACTCGATCACCACCGGAAAGCTGCAAAAAATAATGAATCCATTGAAGAAATCAGGCATGATCATTGACAAGGGTCTCTGAAGATCACTGGTCCAGTGGGGGGAACAGGCCATGACCGGATATCCTCAAATCACAGCCTTGACCCAATACCCTCAGCGTTGACCCAATACCCTCATGTCACAGCCTTGACCCAATACCCTCATGTCACAGCCTTGACCCAATACCCTCATGTCACAGCCTTGACTCAATACCCTCAGATCACAGCTTTGACCTGCTACCCTCAACCTTGACCCAATACCCTCAGATCACAGCTTTGACCTGCTACCCTCAACCTTGACCCAATACCCTCAGATCACAGCTTTGACCTGCTACCCTCAACCTTGACCCAATACCCTCAGATCACAGCTTTGACCTGATACCTTCAGCCTTGACCCAATATCTCAGATCACAGCTTTGACCTGATACCCTTAACCTTGACCCAATACCCCCAGATCACAGCTTTGATCTGATACCCTCAGCTTTGACCCAGTACCCTCATGTCACAGCTTTGACCTTATACCCTCAAGTCACAGCCCTGACCTGATACCCTCAGCCTTGACCCAGTACCCTCATGTCACAGCTTTGACCCAATACCCTCAAGTTACAGCCCTGACCTGATACCCTCAGCCTTGACCCAATACCCTCACGTTACAGCCCTAACCTGATACCCTCAGCCTTAATCCAATATCCTCATGTCACAATATCCTCCATGTCACAGCTTTGAACCGGCACCCTCAAGTCACAGCCATGACCTGATACCCTCAGCCTTGACCCAGTACCCTCATGTCAAAGCTTTGACCCGATACCCTCAAGTCCAAGTCCTGACCTGATACGCTCAACCTTAATCTAATACCCTCAAGTCACAGCCCTGATCCGATACCCTCAGCCTTGACCCAATACCCTCAGATCACAGCTTTGACCCGATATCCTCAACTCACAGTCCTGACCTGATACCCTCAGCCTTAATCCAAAAACCTTAGGTCACAGCTTTGAACCGACACCGTCAAGTCACAGCCCTGACCTGAAATCCTCAGCCTCGACCCAGTACCCTCAGATCACAGCTTTGACCTGATACCCTCAAGTCACAGCTCTGCCCTGATATCCTCAGCCTTAATCCAATAACCTTAGGTCACAGCTTTGAACCGGCACTCTCAAGTCACAGCCCTGACCTGATACCCTCAGCCTTGACCCAATACCCGCAAGTCACAGCCCTGACCTGATACCCTCAGCCTTGACCCAATACCCGCAAGTCACAGCCCTGACCTGATACCCTCAGCCTTGACCCAATACCTGCAAGTCACCAGCCCTGACCTGATACCCTCAGCCTTGATCCAATACCCTCAAGTCACAGCTTTGAACTGATACCCTCAAGTCACAGCCCTGACCTGATACCCTCAACCTTGACCCAGTACCCTCATGTCACAGCTTTGACCTTATACCCTCAAGTCACAGCCCTGACCTGATACCCTCAGCCTTGACCCAGTACCCTCATGTCACAGCTTTGACCCAATACCCTCAAGTTACAGCCCTGACCTGATACCCTCAGCCTTGACCCAATACCCGCAAGTCACAGCCCTGACCTGATACCCTCAGCCTTGACCCAATACCTGCAAGTCACAGCCCTGACCTGATACCCTCAGCCTTGATCCAATACCCTCAAGTCACAGCTTTGAACCGATACCCTCAAGTCACAGCCCTGACCTGATACCCTCAACCTTGACCCAGTACCCTCATGTCACAGCTTTGACCTTATACCCTCAAGTCACAGCCCTGACCTGATACCCTCAGCCTTGACCCAGTACCCTCATGTCACAGCTTTGACCCAATACCCTCAAGTTACAGCCCTGACCTGATACCCTCAGCCTTGACCCAATACCCGCAAGTCACAGCCCTGACCTGATACCCTCAGCCTTGACCCAATACCTGCAAGTCACAGCCCTGACCTGATACCCTCAGCCTTGATCCAATACCCTCAAGTCACAGCTTTGAACCGATACCCTCAAGTCACAGCCCTGACCTGATACCCTCAACCTTGACCCAGTACCCTCATGTCACAGCTTTGACCTGACACCCTCAAATCACAGCATAATCTTGTATTTAAAAAATGCCAATACTGATATTTTACCCACATTTTCCTGACTTAACGCATGCAGATTCAGAGACGTGTCACACTTACCGTTGTGAGTTCCTGTGCAGAACATCGCTATAATGCACCCCGTGATTACAATCATCTCTTGGACTGAAAATTAAAGAATGACTCCATTAATAGGGAAAACACAAAGATGGATCTTCACAGGAATCAAGTCAACGTACAAGGTGTCAGTAGATAGCAGTACATGGCACTGTCAGTGCAAACTGCTGGTAATGCGGTTGGACACTAGGTGGCATAGTGGCCCTATAAATAGGCAACGGACCCATGGCCCTTGTGGGGTGCTCTGGTGGAAGACCAAGGTGCCATATAGGCTCCACCCCTCAGATGCCTAAGGTGTCATCCATATTAGAGGAGGAGCAACATATAGACTCTGCCCTCAGGTACCTGGGGGGGGTTGCCCATATCAGAGTAGGGGTAATATATAGACTCCACCCCTCAGGTGCCTGGGGAGCCACCCATATCAGAGGAGATGTAACATATAACTCCGCCCCTCAGGTGCCTGGAGTGTCACTCATCAGAGTAGGAGTAATATATAGACTCCACACCTCAGGTGCCTGGGGCGTCACCTGTAGAGGAGGAGTAACTTATAGACTCCACCCCTCAGGTGCCTTGGGTGTCACCCATATCAGAGAAGTAACATAAAAACTCTACCCCCCCAGATGCCTGGGGTGTCACTCTTAGAGGAGGAGTAATATATAGACTCCGCCCCTCAGGTGCCTGGGGGTGTCACCTGTAAGGTGTAACATATAGACTCCGCCCCTCAAGTGCCTGGTGTGTCACCCATATCAGAGGTGGAGCAACATATAGACTTCACCCGTCAGGTGCTTGAGTGTCACTCCTATCAGAAGAGGAGTAATATATAGACTCCGCCCCTCAGGTGCCTGGGGGTGTCACCTATAAGGTGTAACATATAGACTCCGCCCCTCAAGTGCCTCGTGTGTCACCCATATCAGAGGTGGAGTAGCATATAGGTGGAGTAACATATAGACTCCACCCCTCAGGTGCCTGGAGTGTCACTCATATCAGAGTAGGAGTAATATATAGACTCCACCCCTCAGGTGCCTGGGGCATCACCTGTAGAGGAGGAGTAACTTATAGACTCCACCCCTCAGGTGTGTCACCCATATCAGAGGAGAAGTAACATCAAAACTCCACCACCCATTTGCCCGGGGTGTCACTCATATTAGAGGAGGAGTACTATATAGATTCCGCCCCTCAGGTGCCCTGGGCTGTCACCTGTAAGGTATAACATATAGACTCCGCCCCTCAAGTGCCTGGTGTGTCACCCATATCAGAGGAGATGTAACATATAGACTCCGCCCCTCAGGTGCCCGGAGTGTCACTCATATTAGAGGAGGAGTACTATATAGACTCCGCCCCTCAGGTGCCTGGGGCTGTCACATGTAAGGTGTAACATATAGACTCCGCCCCTCAAGTGCCTGGTGTGTCGCCCATATCAGAGGAGATGTAACATATAGACCCCCTTAGGTGCCTGGGGCAGTAACTTATAGACTCCACCCCTCATTTGCCTTGGGTGTCACCCATATCAGAGGAGAAGTAACATAAAAACTCCACCCCCAAGGTGCCTGGGGTGTCACTCATATTAGAGGAGGAGTAAAGTATAGACTCCGCCCCTCAGGTGCCTGGGGTACCACCCATATCAGAGGAGAAGACTCTTTGTGTTCAATAATAACTGTAATTAATATTTCATGAACTGGAAACAAAGTATCACAATGTGTCAGCCGGCCCCGATCCCGTCCAGAGTGGCCCTCCATTCTCCTTACATTGCGAAGGTCAGTTAGGCCACGCCTACACTCGAGCATACTGGCATTGCGGGCAGAATCATGTAATTCTCCCCGTGATTCCAGAATCGTGGTAAAACGCACGTCGCGCCGGCGCTGCCATTATTTTTTACCACAGCAAACCGCGTAACGACAAACGCGCCTGGCTCAGCGCCAACACTTGGTAAAGAGCTTCTTTGACCGTTTTTGGATTCAAAATGAATGACGCCGCCCCAAAAACGTGCTACAAAAATGCGGGGAAAACGCGACGCTGTGGCGTCACTCAGATGCGCGCCACCATTTCAGCGACCAATCAGAATTCAGCAGCTTTAATTCAGCCTCCACTGACCTACCCTGGATGATGAGGGATCAGATACATCGATGATTAGTAAAGTGTCTGCAGATCTCAAAAAAAATCGACAAATCGGAAAAATGCAGACAAGTCCTCCCAATACAACTCATAACACCACATACATTACAATCTGATTGTACAATCTCCTTTAGATCTACCAACAACTATGTAGTGCATGGGCCTGTCTGATTGGATGCACATTGATTGGATATTTTAGGGAGGTCCACCTCTAGGAGAAGAAAAGAATATATCTAGTGATCTTAAAAGCAGACCATACACTATACAATCTGATTGTACAATCGCTTTATGATCTTATTTAGATTTATCAAAACCTTACAACAGGGGCAGACTGACAACTCATGGGGCCCCCGGGAAATAGGGGATCATGGGGCCCCTGTGTCTTTGCCCAAACTCAAAAAAACCTATGAAAAAGGTACCAGGGGCATCTCATGGGGCCCCCTACTAATCCCCGGGCCCTCGGGCAGTGCCCGAGTTTCCAAATGGTCAGTCCGCCCCTGGCTTACGCACCTAAACAATTCACTGCATTTGTATCAATCATGCATAGGTGGACCTACAGGAGATTGTACAATCAGATTGTATAGTGTATGGTCAGCTCCAGAATGATGGTTTGGAGGACGGATCCCTCAAGGAGGGTTGGATGGCAGGTAATGCAGCGGTGATCCATCAGCCAATCATCATCCAGGAATCCCCGCTGTGTCCCCGCCCAGCGCCGTCCTGGGGTCTCACCTGGTCTGGCCTTCTCCGAGCCGTTGTCTGCGGATGGAAACAAATATCGATAAGACGGTTTATCCTGGAATATGATTTCACATCAGAGGAGACAATCCTACATAAATGCTGCACAACTGCCTATGAAAATACCAGGCGCCTGGCTGCAGGCTGCTGAGGGACTGCTGGGACTTGTAGTTCTGTATTGGCTGCATGCTGCTATCTGGACATTAGGACTGCTGGGACTTGTAGTTCTGTATTGGCTGCATGCTGCTATCTGGACACTGGGACTGCTGGGACTTGTAGTTCTGTATTGGCTGCTGCTATCTTGGCATTGGGACTGCTGGGACTTGTAGTTCTGTATTGGCTGCATGATGCTATCTGGACGCTGGGACGGCTGGGACTTGTAGTTCTGTATTGGCTGCATGATGCTATCTGGACGCTGGGATGGCTGGGACTTGTAGTTCTGTATGGGCTGCTTCTATCTGGACACTGGGACTGCTGGGACTTGTAGTTCTGTATTGGCTGCTTCTATCTGGGATACTGGGACTGCTGGGGATTGTAGTTCTGTATTGGCTGCATGCTGCTATCTGGACACTGGGACTGCTGGGACTTGTAGTTCCATATTGGCTGCATGCTGCTATCTGGACACTGGGACTGCTGGGACTTGTAGTTCTGTATTGGCTGCATGCTGCTATCTGGACACTGGGGACTGCTGGGACTTGTAGTTCCGTATTGGCTGCATGCTGCTATCTGGACACTGGGACTGCTGGGACTTGTAGTTCCGTATTGGCTGCATGCTGCTATCTGGACACTGGGACTGCTGGGGATTGTAGTTCTGCATTGGCTGCTTCTATCTGGATGCTGGGACTGCTGGGACTTGTAGTTCTGTATTGGCTGTGTGCTGCTATCTGGGTACTGGGACTGCGGGACTTGTAGTTCTGTATTGGCTGCATGCTGCTATCTGGACATTGGGACTGCTGGAACTTGTAGTTCTGTATTGGCTGCATGCTGCTATCTGGGTACTGGGACTGCTGGAACTTGTAGTTCTGTATTGGCTGCATGCTGCTATCTGGGTACTGGGACTGCTGGGACTTGTAGTTCTGTATTGGCTGCATGCTGCTATCTGGACACTGGGACTGCTGGGGATTGTAGTTCTGTATTGGCTGCTTCTATCTGGACACTGGGACTGCTGGGACTTGTAGTTCCATATTGGCTGCATGCTGCTATCTGGACACTGGGACTGCTGGGGATTGTAGTTCTGTATTGGCTGCTTCTATCTGGACACTGGGACTGCTGGGACTTGTAGTTCTATACTGGCTGCATGCTGCTATCTGCACATTGGGGCTGCTGGGACTTGTAGTGCTCCATAGGCCGCTATCTGTACACAGGGACCGCTCAGTCGGCTCCCTCTCTCTCGCTCGCAGTGTTCCTCCCATGACAGGTCCCCTTTAAGGTTCATATTCAGCCGGAATCGTTCGATGCAACTCACCCAGAAATTCGGTTTGAGGTTCCACACCTGCCAATAAAAAACACAGAAGGCGATGAGTCGGGGATTCCCATCCGCACTCTACATGTGACAATAAGGTAGGGGCGGACTGACTATTTGGGCCCGGGGGCCAGTAGGGGGCCCCATGAGATGCCCCTGGTACCTTTCATAGGCTTTTTTGAGTGTGGTTTGAGTGTGGGCGAGGACACAGGGGCCCCATGATCCTCTGTTGCCCGGGGGCCCCATGATCCTCTGTTGCCCGGGGGCCCCATGAGTTGTCAGTCCTTCCCTGTAATAAGGGAAGACGATGCTGGGGGGATTTACTAAAACTGGAGAGTGCAGAATCTGGTGCAGCCAATCAGCTTCCAGCTTTTATTGCCAAAGCTTCACTGAACAAGCTGAAGCTGGAAGCTGATTGGCCGCCGGGCTCGGCTGCACCAGATTCTGCACTCTCCGGTTTTAGTAAATCCGTTCCATTGAAGAGTCGGGGATTCCCATCCACACTCTGCACGGGACCGCAAGATCTCACTTCTGTTTTTGGCTCGCTGCCACCCATCTGCCGCGCGGTGAAACCGCAAGACGAGTTAACCCCCCGTGTGCTCCCCCACCACCATGATCGGCGGAGACGTCTTCAGCTGCACTCAGGGGCGGACTGACAACTCATGGGGCCCCCGGGGCAATAGGGGATCATGGAGCCCCTGTGTCCTCGCCCACACTCAAAGCACATCCAAAAAAGCCTATAAAAAAGGTACCAGGGGCATTTCATGGGGCCCCTTACTGACCCCGGGCCCCTGGGCAGTGCCTGAGTGCTCGAATGGTCAGTCCGCCCCTGGCTGCACTCATAGGGGCCGTCAGGAGGTTTCCTTCCTTGCTTCATCCTTGGGCTGATCAATAGATAGAGCCCACCTCGTTCCCTGGCTGGGGGGCCGCCATTTTGACAGCCCTGCATAAAGCGTCTAATAACTTCATTATGGCCATCTAGTGGCCGCTATGCAACATTTTCCTGAAATACCTCAATCAGGAAAATCCCGCATTATCGCCAATAGATGGCGCTGTTCAAAAAAAAAAAAAAAAAACACATTACGGTGATTATTCCGGGTGTGAATGCTTCAGACGTTCCTACAGCGTTTTATTATTTTATAAATAGCCCCATCTGTTCTGATTGGCTGTAGGCAGAAAGTTGTGCGCAATCAGGGATGATTTATTTCACGAATGATGCGCCACGAGGTCCAAATTTTTTTTCTACGTCTGTATTATGAGGCACGGAACTTACGGAACTTTCAAGGATTAACAAAAGAAGATACTTTGTATCTAGGTATGTATTCTACGGTGGGACCAGGGGGGGGACTGACCATTCACCATGGGGGGTGGGAGACTGAGGAAATGCTTCCTTCTTGCCTGCAGCAGACTGATGACCAGGGGAGGACTGACCATTCACCATGGGGGGTGGGAGACTGAGGAAATGCTTCCTTCTTGCCTGCAGCAGACTGATGACCAGGGGAGGACTGACCATTCACCATGGGGGGTGGGAGACTGAGGAAATGCTTCCTTCTTGCCTGCAGCAGACTGATGACCAGGGGCGGACTGACCATTCACCATGGGGGGGTGGGAGACTGAGGAAATGCTTCCTTCTTGCCTGCAGCAGACTGACGACCAGGGGCGGACTGACCATTCACCATGGGGGGTGGGAGACTGAGGAAATGCTTCCTTCTTGCCTGCAGCAGACTGACGACCAGGGGCGGACTGACCATTCACCATGGGGGGTGGGAGACTGAGGAAATGCTTCCTTCTTGCCTGCAGCAGACTGACGACCAGGGGCGGACTGACCATTCACCATGGGGGGTGGGAGACTGAGGAAATGCTTCCTTCTTGCCTGCAGCAGACTGACGACCAGGGGCGGACTGACCATTCACCATGGGGGGTGGGAGACTGAGGAAATGCTTCCTTCTTGCCTGCAGCAGACTGATGACCAGGGGGGCGGACTGACCATTCGAGCACTCGGGCACAGCCCGGGGGCCCGGGGTCAGTAGGGGGCCCCATGAGATGCCTCTGGTACCCTTTATAGGCTTTTCTGGGTGTGCTTTGAGTGTGGGCGAGGACACGGGCCCCATGATCCCCTACTTCCCGGGGGCCCCATGAGTTGTCAGTCCGCCCCTGGGTGGGACTGGTTTGCGCGGCGGTCTTAGAATTTTTTTTGCGCCTCGACTCCCGAGACGAGCGGAATCAGCAGTTTCTTTTGTGCCGAGCTTGTAAAGTGAGGTTAGACGTCGTGCTCGCAGCGAGCGACCGCGGAATGTTCCGGGTTTCTAGTGACTCAACGCGTGGTCTCGTGGTCGCCGCAATGACTGGGGAGGGTGTGGCGCTCGTCTCTCTTAAAGGGGAACACCTGCGGTTCTAATAATTCTCATCACGGGTGTCAAACTGGCTGCCCTCCAGCTGTAACCAAACTACAAGTCCCATGAAGCATTGCAGGATTGACAGTTACAAACATGACTCCCAAAAGCAGGGGCATGATGGGACTTGTAGTTTATATAGATATAGAGCGGGGATGTCAAACTGGCTGCCCTCCAGCTGTTGCCAAAGTACAAGTCCCATCATGCCTCTGCCTTTGGGAGTCACGCATGTAACTGTCAGCCTTGCAATGCCTCATGGGACTTGTAGTTTGGTTACAGCTGGAGGGCAGCCAGTTTGACATCCCCTCTCTGTATCTATATAAACTACAAGTCCCATGAGGCATTGCAAGGCTGACAGTTACATGCATGACTCCCAAAGGCAGGGGCATGATGGGACTTGTAGTTTATATAGATACGGAGCAGGGATGTCAAACTGGCTGCCCTCCAGCTGTTGCCAAACTACAAGTCCCATCATGCCTCTGCCTTTGGGAGTCACGCTTGTAACTGTCAGCCTTGCAATGCCTCATGGGACTTGTAGTTTGGCAACAGCTGGAGGGCAGCCAGTTTGACATCCCTGCTCCGTATCTATATAAACTACAAGTCCCATGAGGCATTGCAAGGCTGACAGTTACATGCATGACTCCCAAAGGCAGGGGCATGATGGGACTTGTAGTTTATATAGATACGGAGCAGGGATGTCAAACTGGCTGCCCTCCAGCTGTTTGCCAAACTACAAGTCCCATCATGCCTCTGCCTTTGGGAGTCACGCTTGTAACTGTCAGCCTTGCAATGCCTCATGGGACTTGTAGTTTGGCAACAGCTGGAGGGCCACCAGTTTGACACCCCCACTATATAAAGCAAGTCCCATATTGCAAACTGACACAGTGACTCCCATGAGGCATTGCAAGCAGGGATGGCTGGACAGTTGCCAAACTACAAACCCCATCACATGCGTGTAACTGTCAGCCTTGCCATGGGACTTGTAGGCAACAGCTGGAGAGGCAGTTTGACATCCCTGCTCCGTATCTATATAAACTACAAGGACATTGCAAGGCTAGTTTGCGCAAGGCAGCATGATGGGACTTGTAGTTTGGCAACGCTGGAGGGACGCTAGTTTGACAACCAGGCAACAGTCCTTGATAGGCAGCTGAAAATATGGCCATGTGTTTTTTTTCATGAGAAGTGGTGGCTGCATTTCTTTTCCTTTTTTTTTTCGCTTTCTTTCCTTTGTTTTCAGCAGGTGATCCGGCCAGTAAGTCTGTTGTTTTTCAACAAAACAAGTCTTGTAGATGTAGCCAGTGGCGTCCCGAGGCAGGTGCGGGGGTGTGCGTCGCAACGGGTGACACCTATCTCACGGGGTGACACCGCCGGACCCGCTCCACGAAAAGGTAAGTTGTAAAGCAAGCCGACGATCCCCACAGGACGGATCCGATCCGACCCCAATCCGCAGATCCGATCCATCCTGCGGGGATCGTCGGCTTTCTTTACAACTTACCTTTTCGTGGAGCGGGTCCGGACGGTGTCACCCCGTACAGGTTGCATGACGACGATCCCCGCAGGATGGATCGAAAAAATTTGAACTCGCAGACAACGCACTTGCCAAATGTGTCCATTGATGTCTATGGGCCCTTAAAGGGGAAGTAAACCCCAAACCAAAAACGTGATATATCCCAGCTTACCAATCATTAGATGGGGTGGCTGCATTAGTCTTTTTTTTTCTCCTGATGATCTGGGCAGTAACACACCTCCTGTATTAGAGCCCCCCAACTCTGGAGGAAGGAGCAAAGGAGACACCTTTTGGACAGCAGTATTGTCAGCCGAGGGGAGTATTAGACGGACTAGCAGATTTAAATACATTAACAAATTGCAGCCAGACTCCGGCTAGCCCTGTATAAGTTTTTTTTTTTAATTCCTTTTGGGATAACGGTTTTACAAAAATAAAAGCAGATCATCGTAAGCACCCCTGTCAGTGGTAAATGGCCTGTCTCAACCCTCTAACTGCTACATCCAGGGGCATACCTAGGGTTGGTGTCACCCGGTGCGATTTACTGCCCCTTTAAGGGCCCATAGACATCAATGGACACATTTGGCAACTGCGTTGTCTGCGAGTTCAAATTTTTCACACCACAAAGTGAAGCATCGCGGATGAGACAATGCGAACAGACCCAAGCGAACGCCATGTCCGCCTGAAGGTAAGCAGTAGAGGGCCAGTAAAAAAAAAACACAGGACAGTTGCCTATTTTTTTACCGCCCCTTTTGCTTCCCGTAAGAACAACTGGATTATGGCTGGCTGCCCCTTCCCCCAAGTGTTCCTTAGGGGCCTACTGACATCAATGGACACGTTTTTATGAGCGCAAGGCGGCAAAATCACTACGACGCAAAGTGCGGCGAACCTTCCGAAATAATTATATTTACTAACCAGAACCACCAGAGCCTTCAAAGAAGTCATCTGCATCCCCCTGGGTAGAATTGTCTGTTGGGCCCACCAGTGTGCTGTCCTCGCTGTCATCACTGGACGTGACTTGTGGGGAGAAAAAAAAGTGAAGAGCCATATTAATCATAAAATATATACACTATATTGTCCAAAAGTATTGGCCCCGCCCTCCAAATCATGTGATTCAGGTGTTCCAATCCCCTCCATATCATGTGATTCAGGTGTTCCAATCCCCTCCCAATCATGTGATTCAGGTGTTCCAATCCCCTCCATATCATGTGATTCAGGTGTTCCAATCCCCTCCATATCATGTGATTCAGGTGTTCCAATCCCCTCCCAATCATGTGATTCAGGTGTTCCAATCCCCTCCATATCATGTGATTCAGGTGTTCCAATCCCCTCCCCAATCATGTGATTCAGGTGTTCCCCTCCCCCTCCATGGACACAGGTGTATACAATCAAGCCCCTAGGCATGCAGACGGCTTCTACAAACATTGGTGAAAGAATGGGTCGCTCTCAGGAGCTCAGTGACTCCAAGCGTGGTCCCGTGATAGGTGGTCACCTGGGCAATAAGTCCATCCGTGACATTTCCTGGCTACTAAATATTCCACGCTCAACTGTTAGTGGGATTATAACAAAGTGGAAAGCAACTGGGAACAACAGCCACTCAGCCACCAAGTGGTAGGCCACGTCACATGACAGGGCGGGGTCAGCGCATGCTGAAGCGCACAGTGCGCAGAAGTCGCCAACTGTCTGCAGAGTCAATAGCTAAAGACCTCCAAACTTGGTGTGGCCTTCAGATGAGCCCAACAACAGTGCGTAGAGAGCTTCATGGAATGGGTTTCCATGGCCGAGCAGCTGCATCCAAGCCTTCCATCACCAAGTGCAATGCAAAGCATTGGATGCCGTGGTGTAAAGCATGCCGCCACTGGACTCTAGAGCATGGAGACGTGTTCTCTGGAGTGACCAATCACGCTTCTCTGTCTGGCAATCCGATGGATGTGTCTGGGTTTGGAGGTGGCCAGGAGAACGGTACTTTCCTGACTGCATTGTGCCAAGTGTAAAGTTTGGTGGATGGGGGATTATGGTGTGGGGTTGTTTTTCAGGGGTTGGGCTTGGCCCCCTAGTTCCAGTGAAGGGAACTCTTAAGGCGTCAGCATATCAAGACATTTGGACAATTTGATGCTCCCAACTTTGTGGGAAGAGTATAGGATGAAAGAGTAGAAGGATGACCTCATAACTGCTTCTCCTTTCATTGTCCAATCAGCATTCTAGGGGGTGTTCTAGACCGAGATGTTGCCGCTGGTTTTGAGCTCTCATTGGTAATGTTCAGTCTATGAGTCTCAGCCAAGAAATAACCGGTAGTTAATATTGTGGCTATTGGTTTACCTCGAATCAGTTTCTGGAAAAGTATTCTATTCATTTATTACATACAGCTGTGATTTCTAAACAGAGTTTCAAAGTCAGAATTCTAGAATTAAAAGTCAATATTCTGAGGTATCTTAGAATTCTGACTTTCTGAAATTCTGAAATTGAATCTTGAAATTGTTGTCACTCTGAATCTCAGAATTCTGATTTTGAATCTCAGAATTCTGACTTTGATTCTAGGAATAATTCTGGCTTTTAACCTCAGAATTCTGACTTTGAGTCTTTTAATCATTCTGACTTTGAATTTCAGAATTCTGACTTTGAATATTAGAATCATTCTGATTTGAATCTCAGAATTCTGATTGTAATCTTGGAATCATTCTGATGTTTAACCTCAGAATTCTGACTTTGAATCATTCTGATTTTGAATCTCACAATTCTGACTTTGCATCTTGGGATTGTTGTGACTCTGAATCTCAGAATTCTGCCTTTGAAACTTAGAATTCTGACTTTAAATCTTGCAATCATTCTGGCTTTCAACTTAGAATTCTGACTCTGAATAATTCTGATTTAGAATCTAAGAATTCTGACTTTGATTCCAGGAATAATTCTGTCTTTTAACCTCAGAATTCCGACTTTGAATCTTGGAATCATTCTGACTTTGAATTTCATAATTCTGACTTTGCATCTTGGAGTCATTCTGATTTGAGTCTCAGAATTCTGACTTTTAATCTTGGAATCATTCTGACGTTTAACCTCAGAATTCTGACTTTGAATCATTCTGATTTTGAATCTCAGAATTCGGACTTTGCATCTTGGGATCGTTGTGGCTCTGAATCTCAGAATTCTGCCTTTGAAACTTAGAATTCTGACTTTGATTCTAGGAATAATTCTGGCTTTTAACCTCAGAATTCTAACTTTGAATCTTGGAATCATTCTGACTTTGAATTTCATAATTCTGACTTTGCATCTTGGAGTCATTCTGATTTTGAATCTCAGAATTCTGACTTTGCATCTTGGGATCGTTGTGACTCTGAATCTCAGAATTTTGCCTTTGAAACTTAGAATTCTGAATTTGATTCTAGGAGTCATTCTGATTTGAATCTCAGAATTCTGACTTTGAATCTTGGAATCATTCTGGCTTTCAACTTAGAATTCTGACTCTGAATAATTCTGATTTAGAATCTCAGAACTCTGACTTTGATTCCAGGAATAATTCTGTCTTTTAACCTCAGAATTCCGACTTTGAATCTTGGAATCATTCTGACTTTGAATTTCATAATTCTGACTTTGCATCTTGGAGTCATTCTGATTTGAGTCTCAGAATTCTGACTTTTAATCTTGGAATCATTCTGACGTTTAACCTCAGAATTCTGACTTTGAATCATTCTGATTTTGAATCTCAGAATTCGGACTTTGCATCTTGGGATCGTTGTGACTCTGAATCTCAGAATTCTGCCTTTGAAACTTAGAATTCTGACTTTGATTCTAGGAATAATTCTGGCTTTTAACCTCAGAATTCTGACTTTGAATCTTGGAATCATTCTGACTTTGAATTTCATAATTCTGACTTTGCATCTTGGAGTCATTCTGATTTTGAATCTCAGAATTCTGACTTTGCATCTTGGGATCGTTGTGACTCTGAATCTCAGAATTTTGCCTTTGAAACTTAGAATTCTGAATTTGATTCTAGGAGTCATTCTGATTTGAATCTCAGAATTCTGACTTTGAATCTTGGAGTCATTCTGATTTAAATCTTAGAATTCTGACTTTGAATCTTGGAGTCGTTCTGATTTAAATCTCAGATATCTGACTTTGAATCTTGGAATCATTCTGACTTTTAACCTCAGAATTCTGACTTTGAATCATTCTGATTTCGAATCTCAGAATTCTGACTTTGCATCTTGGAATCATTCTGACTTCTAACCTCAGAATTTTGTGTAACAGTTTTTAGGATGGCCCCCGGGCTCTTCTGTAGAGAAGTGTAATCTCCATAAATATATATATATACAAATAACGATGTATATACTGCATTCAAACACGGATGAAGTTCTTCCTCTTAACACACAGACACGACTTACCGCACGCTGCGGAGAGTAAAAGCAGAATTGCTGCCCAGAGGAGCGTCATCCTGAAAAAAAAAAAAGAAGTACGGAAAGTGAAGAAAACGTGCAGACAGACGTGAGGCAACCCGCATCGAATATTGTGATAAACACCGAGGTTCACACGGGAAACGGCACTGAGCCGACCCAGACAAATCGATAGATAGAAATCAATAGATCAATCAAAACAGGTTTTCCTCATCATATAACTAATGCAAAGTATATTGATTGATTGATTGATTGATTGATTGATAATAAGACAGATACTGTAAATAGTATCAACCCATTCTTATCAATACCTGTATTTAATCTGTCTGCCTGTCTGCCTGCCTGCCTGCCTGTCTGTCTGCCTGCCTGTCTGCCTGTCTGTCTCTTCTGCCTGTCTGTCTGTCTGCCTGTCTCTGCCTGCCTGTCTGCCTGCCTGTCTGCCTGTCTGTCTCTGTCTGCCTGTCTGCCTGTCTGTCTCTCTGCCTGTCTGTCTGCCTGCCTGCCTGCCTGTCTGCCTGCCTGTCTGCCTGTCTGTCTGTCTGTCTGTCTGCCTGCCTGTCTGCCTGTCTGCCTGTCTGTCTGTCTGCCTGTCTGTGTCTGTCTGTCTGTCTGCCTGTCTGCCTCTGCCTGCCTGTCTGTCTCCTGCCTGCCTGCCTGCCTGTCTGTCTGTCTCTATCTGTCCTGTCTGCCTGCCTGTCTGCCTGTCTGTCTGTCTGCCTGTCTGTCTGCCTCTGCTGCCTGCCTGCCTGCCTGCCTGCCTGTGCCTGTCTGTCTGCCCTGCCTGTCTGTCTGTCTGTCTGTCTGTCTTGTCTGCCTGTCTGTCTGTCTGTCTGTCTGCCTGCCTGCCTGCCTGCCTGCCTGTCTGTCTGTCTGCCTGCCTGCCTGTCTGTCTGTCTGTCTGCCTGTCTGCTGTCTGTCTGTCTGTCTGTCTGCCTGTCTGCCTGCCCTGCCTGTCTGCCTGTCTGTCTGCCTGTCTGCCTGTCTGTCTGCCTGTCTGTCTGTCTGCCTGTCTGTCTGCCTGTCTGTCTGTGCCTGTCTGTCTGTCTGCCTGTCTGGTCTGTCTGCCTGTCTGTCTGCCTGTCTGCCTGTCTGTCTGCCTGTCTGTCTGTCTGCCTGTCTGTCTGTCTGTCTGTCTGTCTGCCTGTCATGATTACAGTGTTTTCTGGGTCCATTCTCTTCTTTTTCTCTGTCATTTTTCCAGCCCCCCCCCAATGCAGAAGTCGATACTTTTCTCTTAGGAAATACTCTTCAAATGTTGAATTTATGGGCTCAGGATCTGTCGCTGCTTCCAGTTCAGGCAGATGTCAGCTGGGAGCTCCCGGGACTCAGAAAAAACTACAGCCGGATGTTCCTAATACTCCTAACACTGTTTTGCAGGGTATAGTGGGGTACAGCGGGGCTCAGTGGGGAACATCGGGGTACAGGGGGGGTTCAGTGGGGTTCAGCGGGGCTCAGTGGGGAACATCGGGGTACAACAGCGGGTTCCAGTGGGGTACAGGCGGGGCTCAGTGGGGAACATTGGGGTACAGCGGGGTTCAGTGGGGTACAGCGGGGCTCAGTGGGGAACATCGGGGTACAGCAGGGCTCAGTGGGGTTCAGCAGGGCTCAGTGGGGTACAGCGGGGTACAGTGGGGCTCAGTGGGGTACAGCGGGGCTCAGTGGGGTACAGCGGGGTACAGCGGGGCTCAGTGGGGTACAGCGGGGCTCAGTGGAGTACAGTGGGGCTCAGCGGGGTACAGCAAGGCTCAGTGGGGTACAGAGGGGGCTCAGTCCTGGTCATTTAAAAAAAGAAACCCTCCAGCCTTATAACCCCCCAGTCATATTACCCCCCCCCCCAGCTTTTTTAACCCATCAGATTTATAACCTTCCCCCCAGTCTTATAACCCCCCCAACCTCCTAATCCCCCAGCCTTATAACCCCCCAACTTCATACCCCCCCATAATCTCATATTTCCCTCGGCCTTATCACCCCCGTGTGTCTTATACCCCAGCCTTATAACTTCCAAGCCTTACAATCCAGCCTTATAAACCCCCCCCAGCCTGATACCCCCCCCCCCCAGACTTTAAAGCTCTCGCTCTTATAACCCCCCCAGCCTTAAACTGCCCCAGTTTAATAGTCCCTCAGTCCTATAACTCCCCAGCTGTATAACCCCCCAGTCTTATAACACCTTAACCTTATAACCCCCCTCCCAGGTTTGTAATCCCTCAGCCTTATAACCCCCCCACTAGTCTTATAACTCCTCAGCCTTTTAACTCCCAGCCTTATATGCCCTACTCCTATAACCCCCACTCCTATAACCCCCACTCTTAAACCCCCCAGCTTTTAACCCCCAGCCTTATAAACCCCTAGTCCTATACTATAAGTCCCTTTGGCTTATAACCCCCCCTTCCCCAAAGCCCTTATAACACCCCTCCAATTTTATAACCTCCCAGCTGTATAACTCCCCACCCAGTATTATAACTCACTCAGCCTTATAACCCCCCAGCCTTATATACCCCCCAGTCCTATAACCCCCCAGCCTGATACTTCCCAGTCCTATAACCCCCACTCTTATAACCCCCAGCCTTATATACCCCCCCAGTCCTATAACCCCCCAGCCTGATACTTCCCAGTCCTATAACCCCCCCACTCTTATAACCCCCCCCCAGCCTTATATACCCCCCCAGTCCTATAACCCCCCCAGCCCTTATATACCCCCCCAGTCCTATAAACCCCCCAGCCTTATATACCCCCCCAGTCCTTTATATAACCCCCCCAGCCTTATATAACCCCCCCAGCCTTATATACCCCCCCAGTCCTATAACCCCCCCAGCCTTATATACCCCCCCAGTCCTATAACCCCCCCAGCCTTATATAACCCCCCAGTCCTATAACCCCCCCCAGCCTTATATACCCCCCCAGTCCTATAACCCCCCTCAGCCTTATATAACCCCCTCAGTCCTATAACCCCCCCCCCCAGCCTTATATACCCCCCCCAGTCCTATAACCCCCACAGCCTTATATATAACCCCCTCCCTATAACCCCCACTCTTAATAACCCCCCCCCAAGCCTTATAACTCCCCCAGCTTTATAACCCCCCCCAGCCTTTTAGCCCCCCAGTCTTATAACTCCCCAGCCTTATAATCACCCAGCTTTTTAGCCCCCCCATTTTAAAACCTCCCAATCTTAGAACCCCCCTAGTTTATAACCCCCCCAGCTTTTAGCCCCCCAGTCTTATAACCTCCCAATCTTAGATCCCCCTGTCTTATAACCCCCCAGCCTTTTAGCCCCCCAATCCTATATTCTCCCAGTCTTAGAACCCTACAGTCTTATAACCAGTCTTATAACCGCCCCCCTTATAACCCCCCAGTTTTATAACCCCCCCAGTCTTATAAACCCGCCCAGTCTTATAAACCTTATAACCGCCCCAGTCTTATAACCCCCCCAGTCTTATAACCCCCCAGTCTTATAACCTCACAGCCTTTTAGCCCCCCAATCCTATATTCTCCCAGTCTTATAACCCCCCAGCCTTTTAGCCCCCCAGTCTTATAACCTCCCAATCTTAGAACCCCCCCATCTTATAACCCCCCAGCCTTTTAGCCCCCCAGTCTTATAACCTCCCAATCTTAGAACCCCCCCATCTTATAACCCCCCAGCCTTTTAGCCCCCCAGTCTTATAACCTCCCAATCTTAGAACCCCCCCATCTTATGACCCCCCAGCCATTTAGCCCCCCAGTCTTACAACCTCCCAATCAAATAATCCTTTAGTCTTCTCACCCCCCAGATCCCAGACAAAGGTTCGATATCTGCAGTAATAATCGCCCCCCCCGCCATCACCCCATTCACAGAGCTGTAGCAGCCGCCAAACTTACGTGTGTCCTCGCCGCAGCACAGACGCGGATCTGCAGGGAGCATCACCGACTGCTGGAATATATTCGTCGTCTGTGGTCTGAGAGCAACCACTTCCTCTAGAAGTTGTAAGAAGAAGACGCCGAGAAAACATGACATGAATTTCACGTTTCCTCACATTGATGTGGAGGGGCTGATGATGTCACTCTGGGAGAATTTAACTTTTTAGCTCCTTGCAAGAAATAGCATAGAATTCCTAAATCTCACCTCCGGCCTTCCATTCAGTCTTGCACAGGGTGTACCGGCTCCTCCCCTTCAGTCCTGCACAGGTGTATCGGCTCCTCCCCTTCAGTCTTCCACAGGCTCCTCCCCTTGTACTGGCTCCTCCCCTTTCAGTCTTGCACAGGTGTACCGGCTCCTCCCCTTCAGTCTTGCACAGGTGTATCGGCTCCTCCCCTTCAGTCTTCCACAGGTGCACTGGCTCCTCCCCTTCAGTCTTGCACAGGTGTACCGGCCCCTCCCCTTCAGTCTTGCACAGGTGTATCGGCCCCTCCCCTTCAGTCTTGCACAGGTGTACCGGCTCCTCCCCTTCAGTCTTGCACAGGTGTATCGGCCCCTCCCCTTCAGTCTTGCACAGGTGTAGCGGCTCCTCCCCTTCAGTCTTCCACAGGTGTACCGGCCCCTCCCCTTCAGTCTTGCACAGGTGTATCGGCCCCTCCCCTTCAGTCTTGCACAGGTGTACTGGCTCCTCCCCTTCAGTCTTGCACAGGTGTATCGGCCCCTCCCCTTCAGTCTTGCACAGGTGTAGCGGCTCCTCCCCTTCAGTCTTGCACAGGTGTATTGGCCCCTCCCCTTCAGTCTTGCGCCGGTGTAGCGGCTCCTCCCCTTCAGTCTTGCACAGGTGTAGCGGCTCCTCCCCTTCAGTCTTGCACAGGTGTACCGGCTCCTCCCCTTCAGTCTTACACAGGTGTACCGGCTCCTCCCCTTCAGTCTTACACAGGTGTACCGGCTTCTCTCCTGGTCTGAAATGCCTCTTTCATTCATTAGATTTCAGTCCTTTCAATCATGAAGGGTGCACATCATATGTGGGCGTTACTTGCTAATGCAGCCTGCCTAGGATCGGCCACTCCCCCATTCTGACACCCACCCATCAAGGCATTTGATATTTGCATAACTCCTCCCACTACTTTAATCAGGGCTGTGATGTTTTC